TTGGCGGCCTCCCAGAGCTATAATAAGGCTGCGCCACAGAACAGGTTAAAAATAGGGTCCCCCCAGGGCCACCTGGGGTCAGCCTCTGAGCCAGGAAGCCCAGGTCTTGGGTCAGAGGTGACCTCGGGCAGGGCCTGGAGGGCAAGCTCAGCCTCCAGTGGGCGCTGCCCTGCCGTCTGGCCTGGCCATCTGCAAACTAATGCCCCCGCCCGCTTCGGTGTCCCCATCTGCAGTGTGGCAGGGAGCACTGGGGTGGCCTATGGTGAGGACGCCACCTGGCTGTTTTCAGAGGCTGAGTGCGTGGCTGCTTCCCCGCCCTGCTGTCACACGGCGCCATCTAGTGGCCCTGTCTGGCTCCCCAGGGTAACCTGTGTCCCTAAGTCGTCCCTTTCCAGGCTGGACAGACAGTCCGTGCCCGGGTTCACATGGCCATGCTTCCCCCACCACCAGAGGACCCTCCCTTCCTTCAGCACCCCTCCCGGACCGGCCTGGCAGTGCCCTCTGGGTCCCCTTCACACCCAGGCACACTCTGGGACACCCCTCACAGGTCTGCTCCTGCCCCCTGGGCCCTACGCCTAGGAGGGCAGCCGCAGGGCCTCCAGCCTCGGGTACACAGCAGGTGCTCAGTCCCAGGACAGTGGAGGGAAGGACCAGGGTGGGGTGGAGAGGAGAAATGGGCCGGGTGCGGACCAAAGACGCTGCAGTGTTCATCAAAGCCAAACACTTATTGAGCACCTGCTGTGTGCTGGGCCCTGGGGTCCAGCAGCGGAGTGGACAGAAGGCCCGTCCTGATGGAGAAGGCAGGTAGCCTCGGGTGAGTGCGGCCTGTTTGTTCAGAATCGCTGTGTGGGGGTGGCGCTGCGCTGGGGATCCAGGGCAGATGGAGCAGCACCTGCCTGGCAGGTGGGAGGCAGAGGGTGAGGAGCGTGGAGAAGTGGCCACTGGACTTGGCAGTGCAAGGTCACTGACCCGAGGGGACATCCTGGATGCCTTCCCTAAATTCCATTTGGGTAAAACACTGCAGGGAACCGCTTGCCCCTTGGCCTGCCCCGCCCCCAGAAAGCCCGGGCAGGAGGCCTGCTCTCCACCTGACTTTCAGTTCCCCAGGTGGGGCCAGCTGGAGGCTGGTCACACCAACCTCTGGCTCCAGGGTCAGGGTGACCCAGAACGGGCAGGGCCGTTTCCTCCTCCACCCAGCTGGGGGCAGCTCCGCCCTTGGCCAGCCCGGCGCTGCAGCCCCCGCGTGCGGCCAGGGCCGCCCAAGGAGGATCATCAAGAAGGGAAGTGGGGGCCACGGTCACAGCTCAGGGGCAGAGCCCTCGCCGAGCCGCGCAAGGCCGGGTTCACCCCGAAACAGATGCACGCAGTAGAACACATCGCGCATGCGCAAACACGCCTTCCCGCTTCCCGGCAGGGCCCGGCCGCCCCCGGGCAGCGCTAACACGTGCATCCAGGAGAGGGAGCCAGCGGGGACTTCCCAGCGCACAGGGTGGGCCCTGCAGAACCCGGGGCTGAGGGCAGGACAGGAAGCCAGGTGCAGGCCCCCGTGTGCCTCCATAGGCAGGAAGTGTCCGGAACAGCAAGTCCCCAGACGGGACGTGGCGACGGGGTGGGGATCCAGTGGAGCTCACTGCCAAGGGCTGCTGTCCCCCTTCTCTCTCGTGCTGCTGGGCTTGGAGCCCAGGGCCTCGCGGGTGCCACACCCAGCCCTGCCACCGAGCCACACCCAGCCCTTTTTAACTTTTTATTTGAGACAGTCTCACTGGGTTGCCCAGCGGACCTCAGGCTTGAATCCTCCTGTCGTTGCTGGGACGAGAAGTTTGGCCACCGGTCCCAGCAAAAACGATGAGACACGCCTGTCCCTGTGAGCAGGGCCACACTGTCTACCTGTTCCAGTCACGAGACAACCGATCCGTGGAGTGCCAAGCCCAGGCCACCAAGTGCTGTGTGACTCGGTGCAAAGGCCCTCTCTGGGAGACCCTCACACGGCCAGGAGAGTTTCCCCAAGCAGGGACACAGCTGCAGGCCACCCTGGGCATACTGACCTCAAAAAGAGTCACACAGGCTTTAAAGAAGGGGACTTTTTGCATTGTTGTTTCTTCCTATTTTTCTTCAAGGCTGCGTGACTCACAGGGGACTTCCCCTGGAACAACCCAGCCTGAAGGCAGGCCCCAGCCTTGGGTGCAGGAGTGGACAGAGCCCTGGCTGGGGACTGTCCCATCTCCACTTAGTCAAGGCTCACCCTCTGCTCTCAGCCACTTCCTCCTTCCAGCAGCTCCCTTCAATCCCCCAGGGCCCTGTCACACCCCTAAAGGCCAGCACTGCCTGATCAGTGCCTGTCTCCTGCACACAGCAGGTGCTCAATAAATGTTGGCTGGATAAAGGGAACCATGACTCAATAGCTCCCCACTCACTGTCCAGTGAACTAGCCAAGACGGGCTCAGCTCAGCATCCCCAGTGCCCAGAACAGGCCTGCACACAGCAAGTGCTCAATAATGGTTCATCAAGTGAATTCACTTACTGAACACTGTGTGCCCTGTGTTCTGGAAAAAGCCTCCGCGATGGGCTGGGGATACAGCTCAGTTGGTGGGGAGCTTGCCTTGCATGCACAAGGCCCTGGGTTCAGTCCCCAGCACCACCACCAAAAAAAGCCTCCAGGACCAAGACAGGTCCATGACCCTGGTTCCGGAGGCTGAGGAAGGAGGACGTGAGTTCAAGACCTCAGCAACTTAGCAAGACCCTATCACAAAATAAAATATAAAAAGGTCTGGGGAAAAGAAACAGGGTGGGGGGTGGGGTGTTCCACCCTGCCCTTGGGGCAGCCTGGTAACTAGAATCGCAATCAAAGAGCAGACAGGGAGAGGGCTGGATAGGCTCATTGGGGGAGCGCTGGCCCAGATGGCCGGGGTTACAGTCCTCTCCTGCAAAAACCAGAAAAGGGCGATGACCTGTTGGGAAATCTGACGCAGGAGATGCACTGGCAGCTTGCGGTCTCTGGGCCTCTCTCTTGCCCAAGTGGCTGTGTGCTCTTTCTGGGCCTCAGTTTCCCACCTGTAAACTGGGCACAGTGATGCCGTCTCTGGGCAGGCCCTCAGGTCCTTGCCACGGGTCCTCCGTGTGCTGGGGTCATGTGGGGACAGGCAGGGGCGAGCATTCCACACCTGAGGTCGCTGGGTCCATTTTATGGCTAGGGAAGATGAAGCCCCGAAAGGGACCGTGGCTGCTGTGGATGCCACAGTACCTCGGAGGCAGAGTGGGGTCCAGCTGCCGAGGCCCCATGGGCTGATCTGTCATGGTGACGCTGCCCAGGCAGGATTCTTGTCCAGCGGCCTTAGGAATGGGAAAGGGTTTCCCACTTCCTCTGCTGCCATCTGGACAAGAGCAGTGGCCTCCCCCTGGTCCCCAGCTCCTGCCCTGGACACCCCTAGTCTGTCCTCACCGAAGCAGCCACTAGAGGGCGCCCGCGAGCACCTGGGTCAGGTCTCGCCCTCCTCTCTTGGTTCCCGCCTCCCTCGGGGTCCAAGCCCGAGTCCTCCCGCAGCGCAGAGGCCCTGCCCAGCTCTCCCCGCCCTGACGCCCCCTGCCCCAGCTGCTCGGGCTCTTCTCTGCCTTCAGCCTCCACCACGCCCCGCTGGGTCCTGCCCCAGGGCCTTTACTCGGCTGTGCCTTCCGCCGGGACCTCTGCTTTTGCCCCCCAGCTCTTGGCCCCAAAGCCACCTCCTGGGTCCCTTAAGTCCCTCCCTCTTGGACACCCAACGTCACCTCACCCTGCTTCCTCCTCCTCCAGTCCCTTCCGGTGTCTGACATTTTCCTGTTTATAGTTCCCTCCCCACGACCCCTTCTGTTCTCGCCCCGCCACGCCCTGGGGCCTGCGCAGTAGGTCTCCCCCGGGTTGGCCATCGCCCGCGGCCGGTGGACAGAGCAGTTTCCAGGAGCCCCCTGCCCGACTCCAGAATCCGCTCAGAGGCTCCGCTCCTGGGTTTCACTCCAGGCCACCGTGGGGAGCCGGCTGTGACGAAGCCTGAGTCAGCAACGAAAATAGCAAGGGTGCGTGGCTGGGGGGTGACTCAGCCAGCCCCACCTGGCCTGGCCCCAGCCCTGCCTCTACCTGCGCGGCTGGGGAGGGGGCCTCCTCTGCCCCTTCCCGGGACCTGGTGATCTCCCCTTACCTGGCCATGTTTGGGGCCACAGTTCACTCCCTGGGCCTATTTCCCCACCTGTAAAATGGGCCTTCAGAAGCTCCTGCCTTCGGGGACCCGGCGGCCACGCCTGTAATCCCAGTTGATTGGGAGGCTGCGGCAGGAGGATAGCAAATTCCAAACCAGCCTCAGCACTTTAGTGAGACTCTAAGCAACTCAGTGAGACCCGGCCTCAAAAAAGTCTGTCAGTGTGAAGAGTTCAGCCGGCGGTCTCGCCTTTCTTATTTTCCAGTGGTGGTGTGGTGGGGGATTCCGGGGCACGCATTTAAAGAGCACAGTGAACGGTCGGCCTGAAATGGGTGGTCCCAGAAGTACTCCCAAGTAACAGCGTGCGGTACAGAGGACTGAGCTCAGGACACTGGACCACGGAGCCCCATCCCCAGCCCTGTTTGGTATTTTATTTAGAGACAGGGTCTCACTGAGTTGCTAAGTGCCTCGCTGGTGCTGAGGCTGGCTTTGAACTCTCGATGCTCCTGCCTCAGGCTCACAGAGCTGGGATTACAGGCGCAGGCCACCAAGCACGGCTCCCAACATCTTTTGTCTCCACCTTCTTTGCTATTAGAACCCAGCCTTTCTGAAAGGCACGTGGCCGCCCCCCCCAGGACTACATTTCCCAGAATCCTTTGCAACCGGGACAGAAGTCATGTGACCCACTCATGACCAATGGGGGGAGAGCAGGTTGCGCAACGTCCTGCTCTACCCCTCGAGAGGACGCCCGCGTGGTCGCGGCTTCCGCCTCCCGTCTTTGGGGCGCGTGGCCGCGTGCTCGCCGCAGGTCGCCGGGCAGACGGCGGCTCCGAGGAGCCTTCAATAAATATTTATTACCGTCAAACGCCCCACTTCCCGTGTCCCTCCTCGACCCCAGGCCCACGAAGCCCTCTGCCCGCGTGGGGGCGGCTTCGGGGCAGCGACCCGAAGGGAGCGCCCCGGTGGGGTCCACGGGCCCTGCCCGGCCGTGCTGGGGTCCAGGGCGGCCCCGTGGCCCGGCTGGTCACCGCCCTTCTTCCTGCGTCTTGTCCTCGGGCGCCTGGGCCCCTCTCTGGTTCCACATGTGGTTGCTGAGCCCCAGCTGCACCATCTGCGCGTGGTGGATGATGAGGGGCTGCAACCCCGGGGCCGGCGGGGCCGTGGGGGGCGGCGGCGGGAAGGCGGGCGCGGGGCTGCCCGCTGGCCACGGCGGCGACTGGGGGCATCCGGGCCAGGTGGGGAGGGGGGACGGCCCCCCCCAGGGCACCTGGCCCCCCAGGGGCACCTGAGACGGGTGAGGCACCCGAGTCCCGAAGGACAAGTGGCTGCCGAAGGCTGCCTGGAGCCTGTCCACCTGCGACTGCCAGGCCCGGTAGCTCTGCAGGCTGTCCCAGTACGCGGCGCCCATGGCGGCCGCCTGCCGCCGCTCGCCCTCCAGGCGCTGGCTGTGCTCCCGCAGGGCGCGGACGTCCTGCTCCTTCCTCCAGTGGGCCTTGCGCGCCCGCAGCTTCTGCGGCTTGAAGGTGTTGGCCACCTTCCTGGTGAAGACCTTGGAGTTCTCGTCCAGCCACACGAGGCCAGTGAGCAGGCTGGCCGTGTCGGGGCCGAGCTGCTCCAGGGAGCTCTCCAGGGGCAGGAAGGGGACGACGCAGTCCTCCCTCCCGTGCTGCGTGAAGCTGCTCATCAGGGCCTGGCTGACCTGGTGCAGGCTCAGGCGGCAGTTGAAGTTGGAGGTCAGCAGCAGGATGGTGAAGCCGGAGTGGTCAATGGCGTCCTGCAAGCAGCGCAGCTCCCCGCGCCCCGGCACCTGGAAGTCCTCGCAGAAGGTGGCCCCATCTGGCACCCCGAGGGCCTCCAGCTTCTCCCGCACTCGCAGGGCCACCTGCTCGTCAGCCCTGGCGTGGAGGACCACAAAGTTATAGAACTTCTGCTCCGATGACGCTGACTCAAAGGAGGAGGGACAGGGGGACGCGGAGGCTGGGGTCGGAGGCAGGGGAGAAGGCAGGGAGGCCGTGGGGGCCGGGGCTGAGGCCGGGGGTGGGCTTGGCTTGCTCTTCTGGGGTGCGGTCTCTTCTCCCGAGAGTTGAGGTGGTGTCCTCTCCTTGACAAGGCCAGGACTCTCAGTGGCCTCCACAGTGGGCAGGGGCAGAGGTTCGGGGCCCGCAGACCCCTCCATGCACTGCACTGGGACTTGGCTGCTGGTTTCTGGAGCCTCGGGGGGCTCAGGGGGGTGGGCAGGGGCTGGGGCTGGGGCCGCCACAGGGAGCCTGGGGACCGGGCAGTCTGCCAGCTCCAGGGAGCAGGCCGCGTCCACAGAGGGGGGCCAGCTCATCTCCTCTGGCTCTTGGCAGCCCGTGGGGACAGGCTCAGGCCCCGGGCTGGCCTGGGGCTCCTGGCAGAGCTTGCTGGGCCCCGGGGCGCTGCGCTGCGGGCTCGCGAGGGGCACGGTGGGGGACTGACTGATGGCCAAGCTGCGGGCCAGCGAGACGGGGCTGCTGGTGGACCGCAGGGAGTGCCCCTGGCTCCAGTCCAGCTGGCTGTCGATGGGGCGCGGGAGGCTCCTGGTCCCAGAGGGTGACGCCGAGGACGGTGGGAGGCCACCCAGGTCGGAACAGAGGGGCTGGAAGCCACTCAGGTCCCGGACGACGTCCCACCCGCACCGGTCCCGGGCCTCGTCCTGCAGCTCCGCCAGCCGGCGGTCGCCCCTGGAGCCGTGGGCGCGGAGGGCGGCCTGGTAGGCCGAGTCCCGCAGCGAGGCTGGGCACAGCTGCTCCTCGGCCAGCAGGTGGTAGAGACGGGCCACGGCCCAGGACACGTCGGGGGGCTCCTCCAGGGCCTCGGCGCCATCCGCGCCGGCCCACTGGCGGGCCACCAGCCGGGCCGCCGCGTCCTCCTTCAGGGCCTCCAGGGAGATCCTGGCCTCGGTCTCCTGGCCCAGCGTGAGGAGCACCATGGCGTGCAGCAGGCCGGCCCCCCGGCAGCCCGGGCGCAGCGTCTTGAGCTTGTGCTTCAGGTAGAGCAGCTTGTCCTGGCCGGCCGCGCCCAGGAGGTCGAAGGCACCGGGCAGTGACGGGCCCGGGCAGGCCATGGGCACGGGTGGGTGCGGCTGCAGGCAGGAGAAGCTGGGGAGCGGGGAGGCATGTTCTGGATGCTGGCGACCCTTCCCCGAACCTCGGGCCAGGTTCCTGGAGGGCTGCTGGGGCGGATCTGGGGGGACGGGAGAGGGCCAGGATCACCACCCGAGAGCAGCAGCTCAGGGAGGCCACCCGGTGTCTCTCCTCCCTCCCCTGGGGTGCCACCATGTTTGGGCAGCCAACCTGGGTCACCTCCCTCTGACATCCACTTTCTCCTGTGCAAGACACAGCAGGTGAGTTACGTGGCGGCGCAGAGAGACGTGGCTCTTGCCAAGGACAAGACGTGAGGCACAGAGAGGCCAAGTCGATTGCCCAAAGCCACACAGCTGGGGAGTGAACGCAGGCTTAGAACCGGGGCCGCCTGGCTCCGGGCCTCATGGCTGTGGTGGGGGCTTGTTCCGGGAACCAGGTGGCCTGAACATATGGCAGGTTCTGACCACAGCCTGGACCAGCAGGCGCTTGGGCCGTGCCCACCAGGAGGCAGTCGGCCACCTGGATGGCCTGGGGACGCACGATCTGGTGTTCACAGGCTTGGAAGGCCCTGGAGTGCTGTGTGGGGCGGCTCCATTGACTGAGAGGAGGTGGCAGGGACAGGGACTCGCCACCCTGGTTGGCTCTCCTTAGCGCTGCGAGGTCGGCCATGCGGTGAGCAGCCCCGGAGAGGCCCTTGTGGCCAGGACCCTAGGCCTCCTGCCCCCCCACTTGGCAGCTGCTCCTGTGGCCCCAGTGGAGCCCAGGTCAGGGGACCCCTGTGATGTCCCCCTGCAGTGTCCCGAGTGCTAGAGCCCCCAAGCCGCCACGCAGCCCCTCCATCCCGGACCCCGAGCCGGGAGGTGGTGACTGTCTGATGAACGTCTGCGCCTGCGGCCAGAGTCCCGGGGGATCTGTCTGGCAGACTGCTGGCTGATACGGCCCATGGTGACGTGCGGTGACGTGCAGGGACCACGGTCGCCTGTGGCGGTGTCCGCTGCGGGCTGCCGGGAGCCGTCCCCTGCGCTCCGACTGGCTGAGAGGCCAGCTGGGGTCCCGCCCGGGCTCTGTGCACCGCGGGCTCCTGCCTTGCAGCTGTTCTTTCCCTGTCCCCTGCCGGGACTCCTCACCCAGGTCTCAGCCTCCGCGGGGGCTCTGCAGCCACCGGGCCGTTCCCTCCCTGTCCCCCTCCTGCGTGGACGGGGCCTGCAGGGAGCAGCTGGTGCCCTGACCCCGCTCCAGACTGGTCGGGCGTGGAGGCGGCGGCGCTCAGGCTGTGGGTGAGGAGAGCCCGGCCAGCGCCTGCCCCGGGCACACACCCTGGGGACGGCATCCCAAGCCCTGCACTAGGCCACCAGGTCCCCGTCCAGGCCTGGGGAACAACAGCCTTGGCGCCATCCCAGGGGCTGGGAACACTTCCCCTGCCCTCGGCCGCGAGCCGGGACCTCCTGCCTACCCACGTGGGAGGTGCCAGCTGACCCCAGCAGCCCAGAGCCTGCCTCTCAACCCAGGCTGCCCCGGGCCGGAGGCTGTCATAGCCGCGGGGAGGCAGGCCCCGGAGGGTGGGGGCCAGGCTGCTGCTCTCAACCTGCGGCACCCAGGACGCCCACACCAGAGAGTGACCGGCCCCGGCCCACAGTGCCCCGGGGGACCTGGCGTCCATCAGCCTCCTGCTCCGGTGGCCCCCGTGGAGCCCAGGTCATGATGCAGGGTTTTCAAAAAGGTCATCCTGAGCAGGTCCACTGGGCCCCGGGGCAGGAATCCAGGAAGGACCGAGGGAAGCCGAGAGGGCGGAGAAAGAATGGCTCTGGAGGGGACACGGGGAGGCAGAATGGGCGCTAACTGCCCAGCGGGGCACAAACAGATGACCGCCTTCCCAGAGCCTGCTGGGGAGCAGGGCAGACAGTGCCCAGCGTGGAGTGGGGCTCGAGTCGCCAACAGTGTGGCCCAGGGTGGCCCCGAAGGGAGCAGGAGCCTAACAAGGCATAGCGGAGTCCCTGAGCGGCAGCAGCACTTTGGGAGGCAGGCACAGCAGTGTAAAGGCCCTGGGGCAGGAGGAGCCTGGCCCTTGGAGGCACCCAGAAGCAGCCAGGGGAGGGGGAGAGGAGACTGTGGCAGGGAGGACAGGGCCTGGGGGTCACATGGAGGATTGGGGCTTTGACCCCAAGGGAGGTGGGAGCCATGGGGGGCTGTGGACAGAGGAGAGAGGGACTTGAAAAACGGGAGCCACTTCGACCTCAGGTCAGTGGCTGCGACTCACCTCAGGCCAGTTCATCAAGAGGATGCCGCCCGGCACATCTGTGAGTCCCCAGGAGCCAGAGCCGTCCCTGTCCTTTGTGGGCGGCCATAAGGAGCACGCGGCCCGCTGGGTTGTGAGGAGCAGAGCGTGTGTTCGCGGTTGGGAGGTCTGAGGTCCCGGACTGTGGCCCCCTCCGACAGGGCCTTCTTCCTGTGGCAGAAGGTTGAGAGCAAAAGGAGTCAAGGTCACACCTCAGGCCCTTTATTCAGGGGATGGAACCCTGAGCCCCACGGGTGCTGCAGCACTGAGCCACCCCAGCCCTTCTTGATTTAGTCTGAGACGGGGTCTTGCTAAGTTGCTGAGGCTGGCCTCACCCTTGCCATCCTCCTGCCTCGGCCTCCACAGCCACTGGGATGGCAGGCGTGTGCCGCAGCGCCCTGTTTGAATCTCTGCTTGGAGCACAGCTGCCCCGGGCCTCCCCAGGACCCGGCCCCACCCTCCTCCAGGGTTGGTCAGGCCACCTGATCACATTGCGGGGACACGCCATGCGGCCCCCAGTGGTATCTGTCAATAAAGCCACACTCCCGCCCCACACATGGCCAAGGCTGCCTCCTCACTGCACTAGAGCAGGCCGGTGGCTGCAGCAGACACCATCTGGCCCTGGACAGAGGACGCCTGCCACACCTGGGTCAGGGGACCCGCAGGCTGTGTCTTTTCCCTTCCACGGCAGGCAGCCATTCAGTGCCCATGTTTGTGACCACAAGGCCGAGCGCGTCTGTCTGCCACGCGTCATCAGCAAGGGCACAATCGCCATGAGGTTACACTGCGTCGTCCCCAAGTTGTACGCTAAAGGCCGGGCCCTCAGCACCTTGCAGGGGACCCTACTGAGGACACTCCTTATGGGGCAATTGAGTTGAAGTGGAGCCTTCGGGGACCCTAACCCACGGGACAGGTCCTCTTAAGAAGAGAAGACTGGCATACAGCACAGCGGCCACACTGTTGTCCCAGTAGGACGGAGGCTGTGGAGGGAAAATGGCAAGTTTGAGGCCACCCTGGGCAGCTTAGCGAGACCTGACTCAAAAAATAAAGAGGGCTGGGGTGCGGCCCTCCCGAGGGTGGAAGATGTCCCCCCCCTCAACCGGAGAGTGCCGAGGAGGCAGGACACGCGCTCCCCCTCCCCGACCTGACCTCAGCACGTGGTAACAGGAGAAAACCGACAAGGATCTTATATTTAGGTGGGACCACAAGCTAGCCCAAAGTTTCTGAAATTACCAAGATGACTACTTAAGCCATGGACTGATATGTCCCTCCAGAGCTTGGTCCTCAGGTCAAAGGTTCCTGCCACTCCCTGATGGGTCCCGGAAATGACTGTGCAAGACAAACACCGGTGCCACACCCGTCCCAGCAACTCAGGAGGCTCAGGCAGGAGGATGGCAAGTTCAAGGCCAGCCTCAGCAACTTAGTGAGGCCCTGTCTCAAAGTAAAAGTGGCTGGGTCTGGGGTTGTGGCTCAGGGGTGGAGCACCCTGGGTCAACCCCCAGGACAAAAACAAAAACCGTGGTGGCCGACTGACGGTGGTACGCAGTGCCTGGTGTCCCCGCAGCCTCCGCGGAGGAACCCAGGTGACCTCCATGAAATGTGAAAATGTGCAAAGGAAACCACAGGAGGGAGCTTCCTGCGGCCACCCTGGGGCAGCTGGGAATCAGGTTGGTGACAAAGGCGGTTTGTGTGGAGGCTGGCTCTGGGTCCCAAGGAAGCCCATCAGTTGAACCGCCCTGGGCGGCCATTCCCACAGGGACGCAGGCGCCAAGGTCCCCAGGGCTGAGGGCTGCCGTTCACCAGGCGCCAGCTGAGGAGTCACCTGAGCGCAGAGCAGAGGGCACAGCAGGCTTGGGGCTCAGCTTCCAGCGTGGCCAGCGCCAGGCTGAGCCCTGGACGGACCCGGTGCACGCTGCGTCCCCCACGTCAGCCCTGGGTGGAGGAAGGAGGACGGCGAGTCTGAAGCAGCCTGACCCACGGCCAGGCCCTGTCCGCGGTGCACACGCGGGAGCCTCAGTGCAGCCGGAGGCTTGGAGGAGGCTGAGGCAGGAGGATGGCAAGTTCAGGGCCAGCCTCAGCAACTCAGTGAGGCCCCGACGCTGATAAAATATCCTTAAAAAGGGCTGGAGGTGGCTCAGGGGTTAAGGCCCCTGGGTTCAATCCCCGGTCCCCCCAAAAGCCTCAGCCTTCCTGTCTGTGTCCCCAGGGGGGACAGTGCAGGGGCCCCAGGCCGCGGTGGGAGCAGTACAGCTGCTCCTGAGGCACCGGACCTGGGGGACCCCTGACCCCGCAGAAGGCCCAGAGCCCACAGGCAGCCCGTCCTGCTTCCTGCCCTCTGCCCAGCGGAGCTCAGCCGGACTCCCTGGACGCTGTCCCCCGTGTCCTGCCCGCTGAGCTCGGGTCATCTGCTGAACCTTCCACAGCCTGGGGACAGAGTCCACCCCCAAAGGTGGGCACAGACCACGGGGCGTCTCGGCCTCACGTCAGAGTGGCCCTCGGGGCTGGGTGCAGCTTGCAGAGCGCCCGGCACGCAGGGTCCCTGGGTCCACCCCGCAGGGGACGCTGGACGACGTGGTTGTCCTGAACGCCGGCCTGGCCATGCGGCACCGGGGCCAGCGTCACCCTCGGCGCTGGCAGGACCCGTTCCCCGGGTCTGGGATGCACCTTCCTGGTCCCCTGGGTCCCCCGCGTGCCCCACGTGTCCTCCACAGAGCGAGCATTTACTGAGCACCTACTGTGCGCACGCGGCTCAGTGCTCTGCAGGCAGGGACGGGCACCTCCTCCGCCCCGTGTGGCACACGTCACTCCAGGGAGACCAACAGGAAATGAGCAAAGAGCCCTGAAGGAAGCGAGTGGGTGCCGCACAGAGGTGGGGGCTGGGGGCGGGAGGGGGCCCAGGGGCCTCGGGGACGTGCCTCTGAGCTGAGGCTGAAGGAAGCGAGGGCCGGGGTGCTCAGGCAGAGGCACCGCTGTGCACCGGCCCTGGGGCAGGTTGGGCCTGGCCTGAGGAGGCCGGGCGGAAGCAGAGGAGGGGGCGAGGGGGGGACGGTCAGGTTGCGCAGGGCTCTTGGGCTCTGACCAGGAGGGAGGTGGGAGCCGCGGAGGGGCTGTGGGGCAGGGGCAGAAGCTGGGACCAGGTGGAGGCTGGTGGCAGTGGGGGTCACTGCCCACAGGACAAACGGATGGACGGGATGGGAGGGTGTGAGGAGCTGGCTTGGGGTCGGAAGGAGACACGGACCGTTGGGTTAGGCACGACTGCTCCTCCTTGACAACCCCGCGTCTTCCCTGGGGACAAGCATCTCCTGCTCCTTGCTGTCTGTTCTGGTGCACTGTCCCAGGCTTGGCTCTGCCTCAGGACCTTTGCACAGGCCATGCCTCAGCACTTTCCCCAGTACCCACAGGGCGGCTTGACCAGCACCACCCCACCCCTCCCTGCCTCATTTTCCTCATGTCCACTTCTCACCAGGGGACACTACAGACTTCACTTATTTACGATGGGGAGTAGCCATCCTTTCCTACTGGAGAGAGCCTCCCCAGGGAGCCTCCAGGCACAGGCTAGGGACGAATAAGGCTGGGCCTTATTCGTGGCTGTATCCAGAGTGCTGTATAGGCGCTCAATAGATGCTGGCCGGATAATCAGTGAAAGAACCAAACAGTGCCTGGTACACAGTAGGTGCTTACTAAACGCTGAGAGAATGAATCAATACTGACAGAGTACTCAATGATCCAATCAGCTGACTGGGCAGAGGGCGTCCGGTATACAGTAAGCACTCCATGCGTGCTTCCTGCCTCTGGATCCTCTCTCCCCAACAAGATGGTGAGTCTCATCTGCTCCCTCAGGACTGGCCCACAGCGGTGCCGTCCCTCCTGGCTAACTAAACAATGTCCAGGAGGCCAGGTGTGTGGGCAGGGCCCGCCCCTGGGGGGCGGAGACAGGAGCATCTTGAACCCAGGTTCCCGGCAGGCAGCCTGGGTGACACAGTGGGACGCCATCTCAGAAATTTAAAAATAAATAAAAGTGTCACTTAAAAACTCTGTTATGGGCTGGGGATGTGGCTCCAGCGGTAGTGCGCTCGCCTGGCATGCGTGCGGCCCGGGTTCGATCCTCGGCACCACATACCAACAAAGATGTTGTGTCTGCCCAAAACTAAAAAATAAATATTAAAATTCTCTCCTCTCTTTCTCTTTAAAAAAAACAAAAAAACTCTGTTATGAGGAGCCGGCGGAAGGACAAGGCCCGGTCACTGGGCTGCGTAGACGGCTGCGTCTGTCCAACAGGAGTTCACTGAGCACCTACTACACGCCAGGCCCTGTGCCAGCAAGTGACACCCGAGCTGGGCTCTTTGAATTGCCCCCTTACGGAGGGGAACGGAGGACGAGGGGCGAAGCCGGTGGCCAGCCTCTGCCAGGAGCGAGGCGGCCGGGCGGCTGCTCCGGGACCTGCATTTCTTGCATGTGCCAAGCTCAGGCTGCCCCCGGGCTGCGTCCAGGCCTCCTCAGGCCCGGCCCGAGGGGAGGCTGCGGACATCTACCCCTCAGAGGTGGCCTGGTCACCTTCGCTGTCTTGACCATGGTCCCCTGCGGGCATGTGACTGTCCCTACCAGGTCCCTATGGTGTGTGCTGTGCCCAGTGTCCTCGCTGGCGTCGCGGCTCCTCCTCCAGGAGGGGCAGGGACAGGTCCCCGCTCCCCCTGGGCTCTAGGCGCCTGGCTCCCACCGCGATGGCCTCCCCAAGTCCCGCTTTAGTCACCGCCGCCGGGAAAACCCATGACATGGCCTCTGCTGGGCCGGGCGCTGCGGGCGGGCAGGCGGCGGGTCCTCGGGGTCCCGGGGGAAGTGGCGGCCGGGCGGGGGGGGGGGGCAGGCGGCCACTGGACCTGTGTCCCAGGAGGGGTCACTCCCAGCCCCGCGCCCACCCGTCCCGTCCCCACCTACCCGGGCCGCAGCACTGGTGCTGGTCCTTGGTCCTTGGGGTGGCGACGGTGGTGGCCCTGGGTCCTGGGGTGGCCGCGGTGGCCTCTCGGGAGAGGAGCCGCCCCTTCTGCGGCTCCCGCCTCCGGGGCCCTCAGGGGAAAGTCCCCGGCGCGCACCGCCACGTGGGCCCGCCCCACAGGGGACGCAGGGCAGGGGACCCGAGGACAGGAGGACAGGGAGCCGAGGAGACCCGCTCCCGCTGAGATTCTGGACCCCAGGGCCGCCCCGCCGGCACCGACCACCCCGCGCCCGCCGGGGAGCCACCCCAGGTCCCCGCGCCGCGACCTCGCAGGGAGGAAGCAGCAGGGCCGCCAGGGCTGGGCGGGGCTCCTCGGCGGTTTCGTTTGGGGCGGGAACAGTTCTGGAGGTGGCCGGGGACGCGGCGCGGCGCAGAGGCGCTGGGGCCTCGCTCAGCGGCAGGGCCCCCAGAAGTTAGGGTGATGGTGTCCCAGCCGCTAGGGCAAAGGGAGCGCCGGTCACCCCAACCCCCGCTGGGCAACCGCCTCTTCGTCTTGGTGTCTTCTTGCGGTCCCGGGGGTGGCGCCCCGGCCTCTGTGCCTGCCATCGTCACCAGGCCACCGGGCCAGCCCCAACAGTGTGACTCAGTTAAACCTAAGATGGCTCGGGGTGTGCTTTGCATTTACGCCCCCGTTAAATGACAAGGTCCTGCAGCCACTTGACCTTCATGATGAGGAGTGACGCGTATGTGGCATTGCCTGTGGTGACGAGATCTGTGGCAAGACACTGGACGATCCTTGGGGACTGTGCCAGATCTCAGGCACCCCGTTGGTGGCTGAGAGGGTGGCGGGTCAGCTGGGGCTTTTCCCAGCCGAGTCCGCGGTCGCCCCGACTCCATCAGGATCCCTGGGGGGCCCTGGAAGGGTCCTGGGGCAGGTGTGAGGAAGCAGGGCCTCTCTCCAGGGGGAGAAACCGACCTGAGCACCTACTGTGTGCCGGGCGCTCTGGGCCTCCCAGGCGGTGGGTGGGAGACAGGCGTCCTCCTGCCACAGTGAGCAGGGCGCCCGGTCCACCCCAGGACAGAGACAAGGAGCCCTGATCCGGCTCTGGAGAGGGGGGCTCATCATGGAGGGACGTGGGGTGCCATCAGCCACCTCCCGAGCGGGAGGCAGAGGCCAGAGCTCGGCCTGGGGACCTTTGGCAGAGAAGTGACACCCTGCAGGTGTGGGAGAGGGGCGTGGGCCTCGGGGTCCTGCCACACCAGTGCCCCCAAGGCACTGCTCCACCCCAGGGGGACGGGGAGCTGACCCCAGGGCGCGGGGCGGGCGGCAGACTCGGCCACGCCTCCCAGCAACCCTGTGTGGCGACCCAGAGGGGCTCTGGCCCCAGGGCCCACCAGCCAGGACGGCGGCCACCCTGGCCTGCTCAGTCGCCAGAGACACGGGACTGCACCAGGGACCAGGGCCCAGTGTCGGGACCCACCAGGGGCAGCGGTTCCAGGAAGCCTTTCGGTCAGGAGGGCCCTCTTCTCATGCGCAGGACCGGTGTCCCTCTGGGGAAAGCCTTACTGCAGCTGGACACAGCAAGAGGACTCAGCAGGAGCCTCCCGCCTGCCATCCCAGCGGCTCTGGAGGCTGAGGAGGAAGGTGGCTAGTTCAAGGCCAGCCTCAGCGACTCAGCGAGGCCTCAAGCAACCGAGGGGACCCCGTCTCAAACGAAAAAGAATAAGGGCTGGGGACGTGGCTGGGGGTAGGGCACCCGGGTTCAATCCCTGGAACCAAAAAATAAACAAACGAACACCAAACCAACAGGAAGGCCTCACCCAGGAGAGCCGGCCTCCCCAGGAGACCCGGCCTCCACGAGTAGGAGCGACACGTCTGTCATTTAGAAAGGACCCAGCCCGGGGCGGGAGTGGAGGCTCAGCGGGGCAGCGCTCGCCTGGCTCGTGTGGGTGCCCCCTCACACGACATAAAATAGATGAAGGTGCGTGTCCCCCAGGACTGAGAGCAGACCAGACCAAGGGCTGGGGACGGCTCAGGGGCAGAGCAGCTGCCCAGCACGGGCCCCGGGCTCCATCCCAGCTGCGCAGGGATGACAGACAGAGAAGTAGGTAAGGGACGTGGCCCAAGGCCTTCGCGGGGCAGAGGAACACGCGGACACGCTCGTCCTGCGGGCGCGTTTATTAAGGCCACGGCGGAGCTGCCTCAGCCCCTCCTGGTCCACAACAGGCGGGGCCCGGGAGCCAGCTCTCAGACCAAGTCCAAGGCCACTTAGGAGGCCTGGGAAGGGGCTTTGGTGGAGGAAAGGACCTGTGACAGCTAAGGTAACGATCGATTCTTACTGAAGGAAAAAGAGATTTTTTGGAAATTTCTAGAAAATTTTTTTGGCTGGAAACATCCCTGTGGCGTGAGGCCTGAGCAGGCTTCAGTGGCCAGGGGCCGGCTCCTCGCTGCTGGGCCCCTCGGGCGGGGGGGCAGCGCCAGCCTCGCTTCCTCCCGGGCCGCCCTCCAGGGCCTTCTCCGTGATCCCGGGGGCGAAGGGCCCCACCAGCCACGTGACGGGGGTGCTCCGGGCCACGAACTCCACGGTGCGGTCCAGGGCCTCTCGGGCCTTCGCCACCTGCTCACGGCTCTGCATCAGGATGCTGCCGGACAGGTCCTGGAAGGAGTGGATTCTGGCAAAGGTGGACTGGAGGTCCTCCACCTGGCGGCGGGCCTGCTGCACCTGGTCCTTCACCTGGGAGGGCAGCCCCTGGATGCTGGACGCCAGGGAGGCACAGGTGGTCTGCAACTGCTGGGTGATGCCCCGGAACATGGTGAGCGCCTGCAACTCCACCTGCTGCGGGGACAGCGAGGACCATCAGGAACGTTCGCTGGCTGGGTACGGTGGCACACACCTGATCCCAGAAACTGGGGAGGCTGGGACAGGAGGATCATAGGGTGGAGGCCAGCCTCAGCAAGACCCTATCTCAAAATAAAACATTAAAAATGGGGGGAGGGCTGGAGACGTGGCTCAGTGGTTAAGCAGACCTGGGCTCGACTCTTGGTACCAATAAATAAATAAGTAAATAAAAAGGGCTGAGCGTGCAGAGTGCAGGATCACGGCTGGACCCGCCCCAGTGCCAACACAGCACTGGTGCTCTGGGAAGGTGGGTGGCGCTGGGAGCAGAGGACAAGGGCGCTGAGCGGCCGGGCTCGTGGGGGCTGCCGGCGAACCCCAGCCCTGGTCAGCGGCAGTGCTGCATTTCCTGGGGCCACAGCCAGCCTCGCGGGGGCACCCCACCCACAAGAGGTGGGGGCAGGGCCGGAGGGGACCTCCTGCTGCAGCACGTGCCTGCCACGCGCCAGGCCCTGGTCCACCCCAGCCCAAAATAAAAACAGAAAAGAAAAAGGTGACCCAGGAGTCGCCCCAGGATGGGCAGCTCGTCTGCGCACGCTCGGATGGTACCCGTGGGCTCCACGGCTGCGCATCCGGCCACCCGCAGGACAGAACAGCGTCCCAATAGATTCCCTGTGCGTGGACAGGCTGTTTACTCTTGTTATCTCCCCCAAATGACATGGTGGTGGCAATCCCTTGTCCAGCACTGACACTGGCCGGTCTACCATGAGCCACCTAAAGCCGCTGTGAGCGTGAGGTGGTGGGTGTCTTCTACCAAACACCGCGCCATCCCAGAAGTGCCTAGAACATCTGCAGCTCTGGGTCAGGACCAGGACCAGCCCCAGGAGACTGAGGGACGACCTGAGTGACCAGGGGAAGTGCCAGTGGGCATCCACACAAGGACACAGCCCGCAGCCCACCTCCCACCAGCTGCAGGAGTGGTGGGCACACTTGGCCCCCGCACACCTGGAGTGTCCTCGGCCATGAGCAGGAGCCAGGTGACAGCTCAGTGTGGGGGACGCGAGGACCTGGTGCTCAGCGAGAGCCAGACCAGCAGGCCACAGGGTGGGACTTGTGACTCCACTGGTCGGAGAGTTCAGAGTCAGGATGTGGGCTCAGGGGTACAGGGCTGGGCAGGACGGTCACTGCTCATGGGGACAGGGCTACCTTATGGGGTGATGGAATGTGTAAGAGCAGACAGTGACGGTGGCTGCGGGCTGGGTCACCCGCTAGACATGCTATGCGCTCTAGACGCACATTCAGTGCGCGTCTCAGTCTCAGGCTGCTCCTTACAGACACCAGGCAGAGTCCTGGGAGGGCCTCTGGGCAGGAGCCACCAGGAGAGTCAATCGGGTCACTGAGAACCCATCCAGCAGGGGATAAGAGTGGCCAGGGGGACTGTGCCTGTGGCCTCGGCAGCTAGGGCTCTGGACTTGGATCTGGGGACGGTGTGACCTGGGGACCATGTGACCTGGGAGACGAGACCTGCTTTGCTCGTCTGAGAAACCGTTTTCTAGTTGCCGCGACCGGCACTGGGGCACGGGGACAGTCCTAGGCGGTCCAGGTCTGCACAACGAGTGCTCTGATCACAAAGCACGTGACATCTCAATGTGTTCAGTCTCCTCTTTGGTATCTAAGGACGTCCACCACGTCTCTCCGTCAGGGGGCCACACGCTGCCCTTTAGTCTGTTCGCATGAGGCGCGACCACGGCCTCTAATTCCAGTACATTCTACCTCTCCAAAAGGAAGGCCGTCCCCACGACAGCCCTGTCCCTGCCGGGGTCCTGCCTCTGCACTCTCCTGTCACTGCAGTCACTCTGTGTGGCCTTGTGTATCTCATCCTGAGCATGAGGTCCTCAGGTCCAACCACACTGCAGCGTGTCACCTGGCTCCTGCTGGTGGCCGAGGGACAGCTGACAGCGTGGATGGGGCACCTCCTATGGATCTGCCCACGGGCACGGGGCCGGTTCTGCTCCCTGGCACTGTGAGCTGGGCAGGTGTGACCACGCACGCCCGAGCTCAAGCCCGCGACCTGGTCCTACGGAAGGTCCCCCGTGCTGGACCCTGGCACCCAGGCCGCCCGGGTACCTCTGGCCTGGCTGGGTCCCTCTCGGTGCCCTGTGGTCCCTGCTCCTTCTGGCTCCAGCTGAGCCACATCTGGTGCAGCCTCTCCTGGCCCTCCACGAACTTCTGGTCCACACCCTGCTTGACGGTCTCCATCTGCAGGAGAGAGCAGGTGAGGGGAGGACCCTGCCGCGCCCCCGCACAGCCCAGCATCGCGGCGTCACACAGGACAGCACGGGGGACAAGAGGGTGCCCCGGGACCCTCTGCTCCCATCTGACCTATGAGATGGTCTGGAGGGGGAGTCAGAGGCCATTTCTATGGCCACAGGGCCTCTGTGGACTTCAAAAACATCAACCCCCTTGTGTCCCGTGTGGTCAGGGGCAGCAGAGAAAGTGGCCTCACGTGCTCTGTGGTGACTCCAACCCATCTACTCTGTCCCTTGCAGCCAGACATGGCCTTGGCCGCGGACTGGCTTTGGTGGCTGGGGCGTGACAGTACAGGAAGCACTGCGTGCAATGCTACTCAGTCGGGAGACGGGGCAGTATGACAGCTGGCCCCAGGTAGAGGGACCTTGAGGATATGACGCTAAAACCACTCACAAAAGGACACACGGGGTCCACCCCCAGGAGGTCCCTGGAATCCAGAGCCAGAAGCCGCGTGGTGACAGCTGGGCTGGGAGGGACGGGAATTTTACTGGGGACTGAGAGCCGGGCGCCCAGGGGATGGCCAGGCTGCTGGACTGCGCGCCCTGACATGGGGATGGTGGGCTGTGCTGCGGCAGGGGTAGTGCTTAGTGTGTTGGGCCTCCCATGATTTTGTCCCTCTGTGCTGGGGGTGGCCCTAGGACCGCCCACGTGCTGGGGAAGTGCGGCCTCGGCCTGACAGCACCTAAAGGCCAGGCCCACTGCCCGCTGCGCCCGGGACCCCAGGCTGGTGCCATGGAAAGCACCTCGGCCACCGGCTGGAGGAGGGTGCGCTGAGGCCCAGAGCCAGCCACCCGGTCAGGCTGCACTGTCCCCCCGAATTCACACGTTGAAGCCCAGAGCCCCAGAACCCAAGAAGGGGCTGGGCTTGGAGGTGGGTCTTTAAAGAGGGGGTTACGGAGACAGACATCTGGCGGCCTGGTCGCAACAGAACCTCCTAAGAGGAGACGAGACTGGGGCAGATGCACGGAGGGGCGACGAGAGAGGACAGAGAAGATGGCCCTGCAAGCCACGGCGGGCCTGGGGAAGCGCCAGCCCCGCCCGCCGCCCCGTCCAGTGCGCTCACCAGGCTGAGCGCCTGCGCCAGCTGCTGCAGCCCGTCCTGGGCCCGCTGCCGGGTGCTGCGCAGCTTGCCCAGGGAGTGCTCGTAGGCGCGCTGGCGCAGCCGCTCCGACAGCGAGCCCAGCCGCACGAAGTAGCTCTGCTCCTGCCGCTGCTGCTGCACCGAGGCCACGTCGAAGCCCTCCAGGGACGTGGCGATGCGCGCTGCGGGCAGAGGGGCCTTGGTGAGGCGGAGGGCAACCACCCAGTGCCACAGACCACCCAGCGCCGGCGCTGGCCAGGCCCTGGGATGCAGGCCTCGGCCTCCACTGCCCACCGGCCTCCACTGCCCCACCCGCGCAGGGGAGGAAGGGGCCCCCACACGGGCAGGACTGAGGCCCCACGCTGGGCCCTCGGGCAGGTCTGCCCGCCTCTGGCTTCATGGACTCCCTAAAGCGCGGAGGAGTTCGCCGCAGTACGCGGGTCCCCAGGACCCCGGGTATCCAATCCCCGGATGTGGGTGGCGCCTTGTGTGGCGCAGCGTCTGCACAGCCATCTGCACAGCCTCCGCAGAGGTGCTCAGGCCGCCTCCGTGGTGCCGACAGGCCGTGTCGTTGCGGGATCAAGGACAAGAATACCTGTGCCTGTTGGGCACAGACACAAAGATGCGCTGCAGCTGGTTCAATGCACGCACAGGAAAGGAGGGCTGCAGCCGTGCCCTGCGGCTGACACTAGAACGTCCCCCACGCGGCCTCTCCAGCACAGAGGGGGCCGGGCTGCAGGAGCGCGCGCGTCATGGCGGCCGCCCTCAGGAGCCGCCAGGGCTTTGCCCCTTACATTTTAACAACCCCGATGGGCTGGCGCTCGGTGGTGGAGCCCACGCTTAGCACATGCGAGGCCCTGGGGTCGATCCTCAGCACCACATATAAATAAATAAATAAATAAAGGTATTATGTCTGCCTACAACTAAAAAATAAATATTAAAAAAAACCAACGCATGCTGTCCAACTATTCAAAAAGGGTGGGGGGCTTGGGTGCAGCTCGGGGGAACAGGGCCCCTGGGTTTGAGCCCCAGTTCTGGAAAAAGACAAAGCAATACACCCCCCCACACACATATATGTGGACCTGTGTATGAAAAACTAAAAATAAGTATGAAACAGAAACAGAGGTAGCCAGCACGTGGGCCACCCTGTGTCCCTAGGGAGGGCGGCCCCACCGTGCCACCAAGGCAGGTTGCAAACACAAACTCCCCGCTCCGGGTGAAAGCAGCTTTGTTTCCTGGGCCTGTGGTGCCAGGGAAAGACAGTGGCCCTGGCACCAGGAAGTGCCCTGGGCTGAGGGGGAGGAGATGTGGCTCTCACTGCCACAGCTCAGGCCACCCCGAGCCATGAGATGGCATCTGAGTCCCTGAGCAGGACTCAGGATCCCCCAGGAGAAGAGCCACCCCCTGCTGATTGAAGACCTGCCACCGGGCAGGTCCGACCTTCCTCCCTCCTGCCCAGGCCACCACGGGCATGGCCTCGGAGCCCCTGCGCTCACCCCACACAGGACCTTGGGCTGGGTGCTGCTGCACCAGGCAGCAGCTCCCTCCTGCCTCCAGGGGTGACCGAGGCCCCTCCCCGCCAGGCCTCTGCTCTGAGCTGACCCTCTCCCCCACTGCGCCCAGCTCCTCCACACCCTGTCCCTCACATTCATCCTCCGCTCCAGAGGTGGGGCACTGCATGTCCCCAAGTCCAAATGGGGCCTGGCTCCAGGTGCTGAGACCCTTGAATAAAATCACCCACAGAGGGTGCAGCTCGGGGTGGAGCGCCTGCCTGGCCTGCCGAAGCCCTGGCTTCCGTCCCCAGCACCACAAAGAAAAACAGATCCTAGACAACGTCCCTACTATGGCCACACCTGTAACCCCAGCAGCTCAGGAGGCTGAGGCCGGGGGATCCCAAGTCTGAGGCCAGCCTGGGCAAATTAATGAGGCCCTCAGCAGCTTAGTGAGATCCTGTCTCAGAATAAAAGAATGAAGAGGGCTGGGATGTGGCTCCTGGTGAACCCCCTGGGCTCAGTCCCTGGTTCCAAAACCCCAAAGGAACACAACCCCGCTCCGTGGCACTCTGCCCCTCCCCCAGGCGTCTCCTGCTCACTGGAGCGTCCATCCAGGGCTGGAGAGGCTCAGCCCGCCACATGCGAGGCCCTGGCTCCGTCCCCAGCACCACGACTGCACCCCAGGCTCTGGGCACCCGGCAGTGTATACAGCAGTGGTCAGAATTGTGCCCGCCCAGAGGGCATGGTCTGGGTCAAAGTTGAAGAGGAAAGATAGGGCAGGGTCGGGCAGGCACGCCGGAGGTGGACTTCAGCTGGGACCAGAGGGACGCAGGGAGCGGCCTGTCAGGGCAACGGAAGCAGAGGGAACAGGCCTGGAGCCAGGCGGGGAGCTCGTGTGGCTGCAGCAGATGGGGCAGGGAGCAGGGAGGGGATGGGACGTGTCATGCAGGTGCCACAGGGAGGACTTGAGCTTTGACCCTAAGGGAAGTGGGAGCCACAGAGGGCTGTGGGCAGGGGGAGGGCCTGACTCAGGTGCTCACGCTGCCCTCTGGTGGCTGCTGCAGGGAAGGCAGAGGTGAGCCCAGGTGGCAGCAGATGACAGACTCCAGGAGCCCGAGAGGCAGTGCTGAGGGGGGTCCCGGGCCCCGGCCATACTCACCCAGCTCCTCATCCGTCATGGGCAGGTGGTTGTCCATCCACTCTTCCGACCTGCAGAGCACCGTGTCCACCCCGCTCATCACCATCTGTCCCACGCGGGAGCCCATGACCGAGTGGACACCACTGGTCACGATGGACTTGGTCATGTCCACACCACTCTGCACAGCCCCACGGGTCACGTCAACTGCCCCCGACACTCGGGTGGCCACAGCATCCTTGGCGCTGGACACGGTGTCAGACACCATTTCCCGGGCCCCAGACACCCTGGACGACACGAGTTCCTTGGTGTCCGCCAGGACCTAGGAGACAGGCCAACGTCAGCGTCCCTCCGCCCACATGGCGGTCAAGCGTCTCCACTCCCCGGAGGGCGGGGGCAGGGCACCCAGGGCTCGGAACCCTGTGCTAAGACCCAGCGCCCACAGGAGCCAGGCCACCCAGCGAACCGGGTAGCACAAGGTGCAGGTGGCCCCTCCTGCAGGAGCGGAGGCCAGGAGTGGCCAGGCTGCCTGTGCCAAGGGCAGAACTTGGCTGGACCCTGGCAGGGCTCGACGGGTTCAAGGGACAGTAAGGTCAGCCACTCTCCACGGAGGGCTCAGATGGTGCTGCAGGGCCAGGGAGTGGCTCTGTCTCCCGGGCAGAGAAAGCCGCTGTGGGTGAGTGATGGCTGTGGCCACATGCCAATAAAACTTTATTGTCCACAGCAGGCCAAGGGCCAGGTCCCACCCAGGGCTCACCTCTGACGAGACATGGGGCCGGGGGGGACTGCTCCTCAGGGCCTGTTATCACCCTGGGGTGCTGGGCGGAACCCAGGGCTGCCACCTGCTAGACACATGCTCCACCACGGAGCTGCACCCGGCCCCGTGCCCGCCTCCGGTCACTGCCCCTCACCTGGCCTCCTGGACTCCGAGTCAGGCATTTAGCAGGGAGGGCTGATGGAGAGGTCCAGCCTCGGCACCGTGCTAACTGAACGCACAGTTCTCAGGGGAGTTCTGTGCCCAGTTCACATCCCAGCACTGGCCACACGCCTGCCCCAGGGACCTTGGGAAAGTGACCACTCCCCAGAGGAAAATCCATCTCAGGGGGCCCGCAGCAGGGAGAGGGCCGTCCTCTGGGAGCGGGAGCAGCTGCTCTGTTGAGTGACCTTGGAGAACTTGACCCTGTGCTCATCCCTTCTATAAACAGAAGGAGCACTGGCCCTGAGGAATGGCCAGAGGAATGCTGCTATCAGTGGGAGGGACAGGGCCAGCATCCGCCTGGGACAGGCCCCCAGGCCTGCCACGGTGCTGGGCCTCGGCAGCTCCCATGCTCCGCAAGCCAGGCCTGGCAAGGGCATAGGGTCTGTATACAGCAGGTGCTCAGCAGGCAGCAGACAGATACACTGCATGTATCCACAGGTAGTCACAGTGGAGGGTAGCAGGAAGCTGGGTGGAGGGCTGGCCCCAGGGAGGACGCAGGCCAGGCACGCCAAGGTTGCAAGGGACAGGGACGAGGGGCAGCACCAGGTTTCACACTATACAAAGTGTTTGGGGTTTTTTGGCACCAGGTTGAATCCAGGGGCGCTGAACCACTGAGCCACGACCCCAGGGCCTCACTGAGTTGCTTAGCACCTCGCCCTTGCTGAGGCTGGCCTTGAACTCACGATCCTCCTGCCTCAGCCTCCTGAGCTGCTGGGATTATGAATGTGACCGTACCCAAACGTTCACATGTGCCTAAGAGCCAAGAGGTGACACCCAGGGGCTGTCCACAGAAGGATGGTGTCTGGCCATGGCAGGATGTTCCTTAGCCACGAAGGACATGCTGACCCCTGCTGCAGGTGCATGAATCTAGGGACCTGGTGCTCAGTGAGAGCCAGACACACAGGCTACAGCATGTGATCCAGTGACAGGGGAGTCCAGGAAGGGGAGCCCAGAGACGGACGTGGCCCCACAGGTGCAGGGCAGGGTGTTTGGTGGGAAAGTGAGCGAGTGACTTCTAAGGGGCATGGGGTCTATAGGGGGACAAAAGTGTTCTGAAGTCAAGGGTGGCGGCTGTACACAGGCGTCTGACGATACGGCACTGTGTCCAGTGGGGGGTCCAGTGGCCTCATCTAGTTGCATCTCAGAAAAGCTGCTGAGCATGAAAAGTCCACACTGCCTCTGATTGAACCGGGCCACCTTGGGGCCACCAGTAGCCACACGGCACTGAACAGGCAGTTAAAGTCAGGAATTCGGGCTGGGGCGGTGGCTCCGTGGCAGAGCGCTTGCCCGGCATGTGTGAGGCCCTGGCTCGAGCCTCAGCTCCACATATGATAAAATTAGACACAGGCATTGTGTCCGCCTGCAAGTAAACCTGTGACTTAAGAATCAGGAAGTCACATTCGAAGGGCTCAATGGGCGGGCGGCTGGCGGTTTCTGCGATGGACGGCAGCGGCAGAATGGACGCACCAAGTCTGCTGGCCGCTGGTGAGGGGGGAGGACCTCCTCTAAGTGGAAGAGAAGGCCTCTGGGGATCTGAGGCTTGAAAATGTGCCCAGGGGAGCTGGGCACAGCGGTCACACCTGTCATCCCAGCAGCTTAGGAGGCTGAGGCAGCAGGATCGCGAGTTGAAGGCCAGCCTCAGCAACTTAGCGAGGCCCTAAGAAACTTAGTGAGAACCTCAGCGGAACACCCCAGGTTCAGTCCTGGTACCCCTTACCACGCAAAAGAAAGAAGACGTGCAAAGATCCCGGGGTAGGACGCGGCCGGGCGAGTTCCTTCTCTCTGCCTCCCCCATCAAGCTCCCCTTCCCGAGGCCAAGCGCTCCGTTTCCATCACTACGTCCCCCAATCTCAACTGTGCCCTGTACCCCCAGGTGTGACAGTCCCGAAGAAGGACAGAGGCCGACGTGGCTGGGGCAAAGCCAGTGACCTGGGTGGCTTTCGCTCTGGGAAAAGTGGGGGCCGTGGGGTCTTGACTCCCGTCTCTGCTAGTGAGGCTGGACCCTGAGGCAGGCCCAGGGCGCCCGCCGCACACGCAGCCTCACCTTCTCCGTGGGCTGCTGCAGGACGGGCAGACTGTCCTCCAGCCTGTCCAGGCCCCTGTGTGCGAACTCGCTGGCCGATGCAACTGGAGAAGGACAAAACAGAGTCGGACTGTCACTGCTGCTGGGGGCCTGGCATTTGGGGGGACGGGAGCCAGAGTGGACAGGAGTGGACATTCTGGGGTGTCACTCACTCTGGGGCTCCAGCTTGGACAGGATGGGCTGGGCCCCGCTGACCGCGGCCGCAGTGAGGGTCTTGATGCCTTTCTCTGCCACGTCACAGACGGTCTTCACGTGGGGGTGGCTCTCCTTGGTGGAGGCATAGGCGGCCGACACCAAGTCACAGGTGGAGCTGATGAGGGGCATGCTGGCCACCCGGCCCACCACGCTGGGCTGTGGGGTGAGGGGCCGCTCAGGGCTTGGCGGAGGGAGGCGGGGACAGAACCCAGGACTAGAAGCTGGCCCCGCCCTCCTGCACCCAGCACCCCACAGCCAGGAGCTTCCGCCAGCTCCTCCTGTGGATTCCTTTAGCCGACTGCGCCCCCAGCCACGCCCAGGAAGTGACAAGGCAGGAGACCCACTGTCCCTGTCCTGGAGTGGATGCCAACCAGGGTGTTCACCCCTGGCGGCCCACCCCTCTCCGTCCCTGAACTTGCTCCTGGGGTGGCTGAAGGCCGAGCACTAAGAGGGTGCGGCCTTCGTGCGCCACCCTAGCTGACGTTACTTGTGGTACAGAGATTGAACGCAGGGCGCCCGGGCGACGTCCCCCACCATTTTGGGTTTTTATTTTGAGACCCAGGCTGGTCCTGCCAGAGCCCCCCAAGAGCTGGGACTACAGACGTGGGCCACTGGGCCCGGCTATTCGTCATGTCAAGTGCCCAGTCCAGGGACATTAAGCATGGTTACTGTGTGTGTAGCTGTCCCCTCTGTCCACCTCCAGGACCTTCTGTCTCCCCAAGTGGAGGGTCTGCCCACTCAAGCGGCCTCCCCACTCCCAGCCCCCGCCCCACCACGCAGCTTCCTAATTCTGGATCTGAGAGTCTGGGGAGCCCGTGGCTGGGTCCTGCAGCATGTCCTCCGCGTCTGGTGCATGTCCCTGCACCACGTCCTCAGGCCGGTCGAGCAGCGTGTGCAGAGCCTCAGGCCCTGAGAGCCACGTGGCGCCCAGCGGCCTGGCTTCATGGAGTCTCCTTGGCACACCACCCCGTGGCGCCATGCTGCGCTGCTCTGGCTACAAGAGCAGGGGACCGTGGGGACAATCGCACAACTCACAGAGGGCAGCTGACCTGGGACCAAGCCAAAGGCACAGTAAACAGCCACTAAGGGGGTGGGCAGGAGACACCGCAGGGGCTTCCTGGGAAGGGGACCTTTAGGCTAGGGCCTGAGCAAGGAGGGTGTTCAGGGAAGAATGTCCCACAGCTGCACTCCAGCAGGGCGGCCACTTGCCACCTGCCTTCTGAAACAATCAGGGCCCGGGGACAGTGCTTGCCGGCGTCTGCGGGGGGACCCCATCCTAGTAGGAGTCGCGGGCAGATCAGGGATCCACTTTCAAGGGAACCCTCCAGGAGGGGGCAGTTTGGCTGGGGGAGGGGCAGAGAGCCTCAAATGGTGCCCCCGGGGTCCCCCCCGAGTCCCAGGTTCCCTACAGTCCAGGACCCGGAGATAGCCCAGGACCCAGAGAGGCAGCACTGACCTCAGGAGCCCGCCCTCCGGGCCCTGCTCACCTGGTGTTCTGGTCCTTCTGCAGGCACCTGGGTGTCAGAGTCCGCCTCTGTCCCCGAGCCGTGGGTAGACATGCTGTCTGCAGCAGGCACTGTGATCAGAGTGGACGGTCAGGGACAAGCCCCAGCCCCCGCCTGCACCCAGTCCTCATCCCTCAGAGCAGGAGGTGGCCTGTGGCCTGGGTCATCAGCAGCACTGTCAACAGCCAGCAGGTCCAAGGTGCCCACCTGATGACGCTGAATTCCATTTTTTTTTTTTTGCTGGGGTGAACCCAGGGCCTCCACATGGGGCAAGTGCTGACCACTGAGCCGCACCCCTGACACTTCTGGCAGCTCCCAGGGCCACCTTGAAAAGCAGCCTCTTTGAGGATTGCTCATGTCACCTGTCGTCCAGGGAGGTGGGTCTGGTCCAGAGCCTGTGGTGGGGGCAAACTGCCCGCAGCTGCCAGTCTCAACAGCCTTCTCCCCTGAACCCAGAAAGCTCACTTGAGGGACAGTCCCGCACCTGCTCTGCCACTTGGCCAGACTGTGTGTGCCTGGGCACACACTCCATGCAGAGGCTCACGGGTATTGTTAAGGGACAATAGGTTTTGAATAGTGCAAAATGCCGTGCTTGCTTCCCACAGAAGCTCAGAGACAGGAAAATTAACAGTGGCTGCCTTTCAGGGAAGAGGGAGGATCCGGTGGCTGGGCCGGGTGGGAGGTGCCTTCTGATTTTTGAGCCAGACAAACAGTAGCACCTCCATTTAAGGGCTGGGGGTGCAGTCCACGGTAGACACTTCGTCCATGCTCAGAGCCCTGGGCTCCATCCCCGGCACCCCCCCCCAAAAAAAAAAAACAAACAGATAAGCTTTTTAAAACTGAAAGGCCATTCCTGGCCCCACTGCAGATCGATCAGGTCGGGCAGGAGAGGACAGGGTCCCCAGGTGGGTCCACGCACCCTGCACAGGTGGCACTTGAGCCATAGGTGTGCTTGGTTTTTATGGCCCAGAACCAACCAGATGGCCTCCCTCGGGCTGGCTCTCAGAGGGCCAGCAAGTAACACCCCGTGGACACGGGAGGGGTGGGGGCTGTCATGACCTGAATCCCCTGTTCTCCCTCCAAGTCCTGCTGAGGCCTGGGCTGCTTCCTGGCCCCTCTTCCTTCCAGCCCTCCGGGAACTAGTTCCGGCAAGGGTGGCCACCACCGTCTTTGGGGGTCAGTGTCCGGCCCGCCCGGGAGAGAGAGCTGGCTAGAGCCGTTGCAACCCCTCAACTCCAAACCCCACTTCCTCATCTTGGAAACTGCCTGAGGTCCACGGCAGAGGAGCTCCTGACCCAGACACAGGGCCGCCGCCTGGGCAGGCTCAAGAGTGGACTAAATTCCAAAGGACCGCGGCCCCAGCCCAGGGCAGACAAGGCCTGCAGCACCCCGGGAGCGCCGCCCCCTCCGGGGGAACCGGCCCTCGACCCGCCCCGCGAGCGACGGCCGGGGGGGGCCGGGGCGCCGCAGCGGGCAGCACCCTTTGCAAGGCAGGGGCCTCGCGAGGCCGGGGATGGCCTCCCGGTGCCCGGGCGTCCTGAAGACCCGGGGAGGAGGGCGGCGCCCCGGTGCCCGCGCCCCGGGCGACTCCGAGACGGGCCCGCACTCCGCGTGGCAAAGTCCGTCCTTCGGAGTCTGAGGGACGGGGGGGGGGGGCGCGGCCTGGCCCCGCGGGCCCCGGGAGCTCTTTCGCCCTCGGGGGTCCGGCGGGGAGAAGCGCGCCCCTGCCCCGGGCGCCCCCGGCCCGCGGCCCCCGCTCGGCCCGGCAGCCGCTCACCTCGTCCGCGCGGCGGCCAGCACTCGGCGGGACGGCGGGACGGCGGGCGGGGCGCGGGTCCACCCACCCGGGGGCGGGCCCCGGGGCCGCGAGGGCCAATCAGGGCGAGGCAGCCCGCCCCGCCCCTGTCCCCGGCCCGCCCCCGCGGGGCTCGGCGGCGGCGGCCACTCGTGAGGTCCCCCAGGACCCCGCCCTGCTCCTGGAGCGGGGTGGCGCGCTGGTGCCACGCCGGACCCCGAAAAGGGGCACCCCCCCTCGCCTGGGTCTCGACGAACTCAGCCCAGGCAGGTGAGTGCGACCCACGGCGCCCGCTGGGGTCCCGGGTCCCCAGTTTCCCCGGAGGTCCCCAGCGATGGTTTTGTGAGGTCCTCAGCTCGTTGGTGGCCACGCCCTCCTCCCTGGGCGCCAGGGTGATGGCCGAGCGCTGGCAGCGCGGCCGCTGAGCGACTTGAACTTCCGCGGTGAAGAGGCGCGGAGTTTGCTGCCTGCTCAGCCCCAATGGAGCCTCCCAGTTCTCCCAACGCTGTGTCCTCCCTTCGTTATCCCCGTTTTACAGATGAGATAAGGGAGGACCAGAGGCTGTCAGCCGGGGGCAGTGCAGGTCCAGGCCCCAGCCTCTCTGGCTCCTGGATCAACCACTTCCTGAAGCTGTGTCACTTGGATTCCCCCTCCCCCAGCTATTCCCTATCCTCACAGCTAGGCCCCGGGTGCTCCCCTGAGCCTGGAGCATCTCCCGCTCCCGCCAGCTTCAGCAACTTCACCAGACACTCCACAACTTAGTGACATCCTGTCACAAAATGAAAATTTTAAAAAAGATCTGGGGACGTAGCTCAGTGGCAAAGCACCTTCACTGGGTCCAGTGCCCTTTACTCTGAACCAAGTCTGTGAACCAGGGCCCCAGGGCCAGGTGGGAGGTAAACACCCCTGCTGAGGGGAAGGCCCACTGGGGGATTCGAAGGCCTCTGGGATTTGAGAATGCAGAGTGTCCTGCCTCCTAGAGAAGGACGTGGCAGTGCCAGCTCCTTGTGCAGGGCCTTCAGTTGGCCACTCTGCTGCTTTGGGTGGGTCACATGGGGCTTCTGGAGCCGCCAGAAAGAGCAGGGGAAGTGGGGGTGGGAGGCTGAGTGCACTGTGGACGGGTCGTGCAGCATTGTGCAACAGAACTTCTGTGATGTTGGGGTGGAAGGTTGTCGGGTTCTGCACCTTGTGACTGTTGGACACCAAGACGCCGGCACCCCGGCCTTGAGCACCCTGGGCCAGGGTAACCCCTGAGCCGCACCCAGCCTAGAACCAGAACTTCTCAATGTAAGTGACCGCCTGCGGCTAGTCCAGGCCAGTGACTGCTGTGCTGAGCTGTGGCAGGTCCAGATCTCCGGCTCCTTCATTCCTCCAGCCACATTCCTGGAACCTCTGTACTGGGGCCGGGGGGCACAGTGGGGAAAACAGATTAAAAGCCCAGCCCTGGTGACACTCAGCGCCTAGTGGGAGACAGGACAATAAACCAGATAAGCCTGTGACCTAATCAGGAGTCAGGTGATAGTGAGTCCTATCTGGAAGGCAGGTGCAGGCGTGGGATGGCAGGGGTGGTCAGGGGTGGTCAGGGGAGGCCTTTCCAGTCAAGGAAGTGAGGGGGAACCCTGGAGAGACCCAGGGAAGAAAGGTGTGCCTGGGAGAGGGCAGTGCAAAGGCCCTGGGGCAGGTGGGGAACTGGAGGGGCAGGAGGAGAGGAGGCAGGGAGGGCTTGTAGAGATGGAGTGGCACCTTCTAGGTCTGGAGGCTCAAAGGTCACTGAGAGGCAGGCCTGGTAGCCTGGGGCTTTCCAGGGACTGAAGACCTCTGGTCTAGGGGACTGTGACCCGATTAAGACTTGGAAAATACAGCCTGGCGATCTTACCCCATCTTAGGATAGCGGCTGGGCCTCGCACGGTGGGAAAAGGGGTGCAGCAGTGAGCCCCGCGGGGGGGCCGATGGTGCAGGGCCAAGGGTGGGCTGGCCCTGGCCAGCAGCCTGGCCCACCTTCCGGGGTGCTCGCACCCCAGCCTCCCCACCAGCTCCTGCCCCCAGGGACTGGTCAAGGGCACCTGCCCCTGGCCTGTTCGAGGGTGAGGAGGGCAGGTCCCTGGCCCTCTCCTGACCAGAGGCCCTGTAGCCCCGCTGCGCCTGGGGACAAGGGAGGCCCACTGCCTCTGAATTCCAGGCTGACGATCAGCGCATTCCTAGGCCTGAGTGTATCCCACAAAATATTGGGGGTCTACTGACACTCGGAAATGACTCATTTTCCGTCTGAAATTCAGATGTCGCTGGTCACTGTTGTCATGTCTTTTGTTTTTCTTAGTGCCACGTGTGAAGTCCCCCTCTCTCCTTTCCTCTGCTCAGGCCTACTCTTCTAGGAGGCTCCCTAAGGACACCTCCCGTCCTGGAGGCTCCGGCCTCCCGCAGTCCCAGGGCAGAGGTAAGAAACAACCGCTGCGACTTGATTACACTATTCTGCAGCTTGATCCTCTTGGATTTTTTGAACGAGGAAACAGCATCAGAGAGGCAGGTAACTTATGCAGCATCACACAGCGGAGCTCCACAGCCTAGGACTGAACCCGAGTTGTCCGCCATTTCCAAAAGGCGGGCTTTAAAACTCGCCCAGTTCTCCCCTGGGACTGAGAAGGGACAGACAGGGGACGCTGTGCCACAAGGTGGCGCCTCTGTCCTGGAGGGTCCCTCCCAGGCCCAGGTGTCCTGTCTGCCCTCTGACCCTGCCATCTGTCCTTCCCTGATCAGGCCCATCCTGAGACCTGCGGGGCAGGCTGTGACTCCCTGGCCAGTCTCTCAGCAGTCCTCGGCTCCCAGGAGCCATGTCGGCACCTGCAGCTCTGGTGGGCCGCTCCGCAGAGATGCCCGGGTGAAGCTGCCCTCACGAGGACACGAGGGAAATCAAATCCATTTTTCCTTCCGAGTTTCCGAGAGGTGGGGAGGCGCGCTGTGTGGGGTGGATTGGCCCTGGTGACCAGGAGATCACACATGGCATCAGACAGGAGGCCCAGGGAGGGCCAGGCAGTGCAGGGCTGGTTCCAGAGGCTTCCAGGAGGGGCCACGGCTAGGCTGCGCCTAGGAAGGTGCAGGGCTGGGGCGTGGAGGGGCGGAACAGCTCCTGCAAAGGCCCTGAGGCAGGGCTGAGCCAGTGTGGCCGAGCAGAGGAGCAGAAGGAGAGGGGGAGGAGGGAGGCCGGAGGGGACAGGGCGGCCAGAGGGGACAGGGCAGTGGCCGTGCAGGGCCTGGGGGCATAAGGAGGACTTGACCTTGGCCTCCAGGGAGGTGGGAGCCCTGGGGAGCTCTGGGCAGAGGAGACCTGACTTGCCTTCAGGTCACTGCGGGCCAGGCAGTGGCGGGGACCTGGGGGACCTGGGAAAGCGCTGGCAGAGGGGGCCTCGGGCTGGAGCCGGGCAGGGCGGGGGCTGGGAGGGAAGCAGGGAACCTGGCGTCCCAGTCCCCGGGAGTAGTGGGCAGAGCCCGGAGGGGCCTCCAGGTTTGGGGCCAGGAGGAGCTGGGAGGAACAGGGTGGGGCAGCGGGAGGTGCCGCAAGCCGTGGCCTGCAGGGGAGGGCCCATGCAGGGAGCGCGGACAGGCAGGCTGGGCCAGGCAGCAGGGCTGCCCGGGCAGTGACCCCACAGCAGAGCGAGTTTGGGGAGCCAGCTCTGAGCCTGCTTCCCGGGGACATCGGGGTTGCACTGGGGGTGACCCGGGTGCCTTACCCCTGAGCCACACCCGGCCCTTTTTATTTTTAATGTTGAGACTTAGTCTCAATAAGTCGCAGAGGCCGGCCTTGAACTCCTGATCCCCCTGCCTCAGCCTCCTGGGTAGCTGGGGTGACAGGTGGCAGGCCTGGCGCACAGTGAGGGCTTTTTACATAAGTAGGTCCTGAGGACTCCGGAACCCTCCGTCCTCCTGTTTGGCTGCACAGCTGCTGTTTCATCCGGCCACCCGGCTGGCCCTGGCCCTCCGCTGCCCCACCAGGTGGCTGCAGCTGCGGGGGGGCACTTGACCACTGTGGCCACCTCCGGGCTCACGGCAGGAAGCCGGGGTCTTTTAACATGCAGGCCCTGGCCCCGCCCGCCTCCGGGCCTCTTGGCGCCAGCCGCCCGCTGCCCTCTGAGAGGCGCCTCTGTGGGCGGCTTGGGGGATGGGAGCAGCTCTGAGGCCCACTGCCCCTCCTCGGCCTCTTCCAGGGCAGGAGGGTCGCACTGGCTGGTCTCTGGGCAGCGCTCAGGTCACCCCAGGCCTGGGGAGAGGCCTGGGCAGCAGGAGGGCCTCCCCTGGCCGCTGCCTCCCGTCTCCCAGCTCTGAGAGCGTGGCAGGCTCCTGGCCCTCTCTGGTGGCCTGGCCCTCTCTGGTGGCCTGGCCCTCTGGCAGTGGGCACACCTCCTTGAGAGAAGGCGCTGGAAGCCCAGAGGCAGCTGACCGGGAAGGAAGCCCCTAGGGCCGCAGCCACCCCCAGCACCCTGGCACCGAGGAGCCTTGTCCACGGTGGCCTGGCCAGCGGATCGGGGCAGGGCCCTCTAAGTGCCAGCTGCCAGTATGTGCCTGTCACGTTGGCGGGGAGGGAACAGGCCGTTCTTGGCTCACCAGCTGCCCCTTTGTCCCCAGGCGGAGGTGGGGGCTGTTGACCTGGTAACCAGCCTCTCCCCCAGTTATTGAGGTGGAAATCGGGGGCACCTGGGCCCAGGGGTCTGGCCCCCTCTTCGCCGCCTCCTGGCCTCCTGGGAAGGGTTATTTCTGGACTGTGGGGAGGCGGTCACCCCTTGGGACTGGAATGCCGGAGGTGGCTGTGGCGGGTGGGGGGGACATTCCCAGGGGGCGGGTCCTGTGGTGGCAGCTGCTGGCCCCTGCCTGTCCTGCGTCCCCGGGCAGCGGAGGTGCAGCTGCTGTGGGTGGCTGTGGTTCCCCAGGGAGGTTATCCTGGGGCGGGGCCAGGGACCAGCAGCCCCTCCTCGGGCAGGAAGTGGGGTGCCCAGCTGCGCTCTCCTGTTGGCCCACCTGGTGTGGCGGGCCCCCCGCTGCCGCACAGGAAGTGTCCCCCAGGCCTGCCTGCCCTCCTGGGCCACCGAGTATCAGTCCTGGAGAGGTGGCAGCCGTGGGCAGGGGCAGGGCCTGCTGCTGGGCTGCAGAGCTGCTCAGGACCTTCCAGAAGCCTCCGCCTGGGGCAGCGGCCATTTGTGTGCATCGGCCATCTCTAGTCAGCGGCTTCTGGAGGCAGCCACTGCCGCCTGGCCTCAGGGACAGGAACTGGCCCCGTCACCCGGCAGAACCGGGTCCCCTCAGACGCAGGAGCCCCACCCAGGCTGGAGCTGGACCATCCTGCCCCCGCCCCCCGGGGACACCTGGCCAGGCCTGGGGACCTCACGACAGGTGGGAGCTCCTGCCTGGAGTGGGTGGAGGCCAGGAACAGGACCCCACCTGCCACCCAGAGAAGGACCCGTGGGGGTCCAGCATGAGCCTTGCTCAGGCGGAGACGGTCACTGTCAAACACAGATGGGCGGTGCCAGCCGGGTCCAGCCTCGGCCCCACGTAAAAATAAACAAAACGAGGCCCAGCAGGCGTCAGCACCCTGTTCCCACCGAGCGGCGGAACCTGCTGTGAGCCGGGGACCGTGACTGTGATGCTCCTCGCCATCGCCGTGGGCGAGATAAGTAGATCTAAAAAGTGAAAATAGAGAGAGAGACGATAGAGTGAAATAAAGGTGCTGTGTCCATCCACGACCAAAAACAAACAAAAGCTGTGCGCGGCCACTGGGCAGGCCACTGGGCAGTGGAGGAGGCGGTGAGTCCCAGGGCAGCCTCAGCAACTTTGGTGAGACCCTGTCTTAAAATAGAATAAAGGACCAGGGATGTGGCTCAGTGACAGAGCGCCCGGGCTCCATCCCAGTACCTAAAAAAATGACAGTGACTGCATTCGGTGGGACACTGGGTGAGGACGCCCAGGCTGTCTTAGGGTCAGTCTGCGGTGCCCTTCTGCTTGGTACTGTGGTTTATTTGCCTTGTGGAGCCGGGGCAGGGCCGGCCTGCTAGGCTGGTGCCCACCACTGGGTGACCCAGCCCCGTGTCATTGTGGGGGGTGGAGCGACCGCCGCCTCCCGCCGTCTCCTGCCAGCAGCAGGCTCAGCTGAGGGGCCGCGGCTGGTCACCACCCATCCATGCCAGTGTGGGTGGCTTGCACAGGGGCACTGGTGACTGGGCTCTGTGATGTTCGTGCGGTGACATGTCTCGGGGACACGTCCCTGTTGTGCAGGGACATGCCACCACCCTAGTATCATGCCTGGTTTACCTGTGGGCACAGGAGTCAGACCCCGTGGTGTGGCCCTGGGATTCCTGGGTCCTGTGGCCCTTGGTGGCCTTCCCAGCAGCCCGGTGAGCCCCCAGCAGGGGAGCATGGCCCAGGGAGATGGAAATAGACTCCCCCCACCCCCTGGCTGGCCCCTGAGGGCCTCACCCTAGGAAGTCCGCAGCCTGGAGCTGCCAGTGGTCACCCACACCCTCAGGCGATGGGAAGGGTTAGGTAAATACTTTGGGGGGCTGGGGCTCAGTGGCAGCGCTCTCCTAGCGCCTCATTAAAAAAGGAGGCAGATGAGACACAGGGTGCTGCGTGCTGCCCACCTGCTGACCAAACGGACCCCAAACAGTGAATAAAAAAAAGCATTAGAGACCAACACAGAAGCCGTGGAGGGCGCCGCCTTCACTGTGGGGCTGGGGAGGATGGCCGCGTGCGCAGGGGCAGGGTTGGCAGAGGCCTCCCTGAGTGCCTGTCCCCGAAGTGTCCGGGGCCTTCATGAAGGTAGCTGCTTACAGTTCAGGGTAGACTGGTGGCTCTCCAGGAGGCAGTTGTGCCAGCCAGGGGACACGTGGCACTGTGGCACTGTCAGGGGACCCTCCTAGTGGTCACAGCTGCTGCGTCTAGTGGCTACACACCGGGGGCTGCTCAACACCCTCCCCTGCCCAGCACTGTCCTCCACCAAGGAGGTGCCCGCTGCTCAAGGAGGCCTTCTACAGCTGGCTCAGAGCCGGGCCTGGGGGGAGGGGCCCGGGAGGCCTTCTGGATGCCCGGACCTCAAATGCTGAGGTGGGGACACCCTGGGTGGACTGAGGGCCACAGGAAGGGGTCCCAGGAAGCAGTCCCCTGCCACTGGCTTTGTCATTCATGGAGCTGCATTTCTTTGTGTCTGGGACAGTCCAGTGCAGGCCGGAGTGGCCCGGAGTGGCTCTCCTCCAAACAGTGACTTGGGGTCCAGGCTCCTTCCAGGATTGTCTGTTTCCCTCCCTCCCCCTCCCCCCTCCCCTCCCCCCCTTTTCTCTGTCTCTCTCTCTCTCTGTCTTTTTTTTTTGGTGCTGAACCCAGGAGCACTTTACCCTTGAGCTATATCCCCAGCCATTTTTACTTTTTATCCTGGGACAGGGTCTTCCTAAGTCGCCCAGGCTGACCTCACACTTCAGATCCTCCTGCCTTGGCCTCCCAATCACTGGCATTCCGGGTGTGCACTGCTGAGGCGGCCACGCTGACCTCTTGAGTCCTCTCAGAGGCCGATTTTAATGGACAGGACAGGGCTGGACACCGTGGCGCACGCCTGTCATCCCGGCAGCACACGAGGCCGAGGCAGGAGGATCACGAGTTCAAAGCCAGCCTCAGCAACTGGGAGAGACACTGTCTCAAAGTAGCAAGAGCTGGTCCAGTGGTCAGCGTCCCTGGGTTCAACCCCTGGTACCAGAAAAAGAAAGAAACTGCAAACATTCCCACAAACCCTTGGGTCATGCCCAACACCCCTGCCCCAGGTCAAAAGCGGGCAGTGGGCTCTGGGTGTCCGGGAAGTGACCCTTAGGACCATCCCCAGTTCAGCCCCCGCAGAGGAGGCTGGAGGGGGTCGAGGACCTCCTGGTGTAGCTGGAGGGTCTCCCAGAGGGGGACACCTTGGCTTTAGGAAGGCACAAGTCAAAGCCCAGATCCAGGACAGGCCGGAGAGCCGCGGCCCGACCCGTGAATGAGCAGCCTTGAGGGAGGCCAAGCGCCAGCCTGGGGCCGGGCAGGGGCATCGGAAGCTGGAAGGGGTGGAGGGGTGGGTCCTCCTCCTGCAGGACCCCGAGGGTGCCCCCACCGAGGGAGCGCTGCGTGGGGTTCCAGCGAGAAGCGTCTGTGGCTGATACGAGAGTGTCGGCTGGCAGGTGGCGGGAGATGAGGCGGGCCCATGGGCCCCACCTGCCATCCCAACGAGGCAGGAGGACCCCAAGTTCAAGGCCAGCCACAGCGACTTGGCCAGAACCTGTGTCAAAATGATAAAAGGCCTGGTTCCTAGCTCGGCGTCCCTGGGTACTGTCCCCGGTACCCTCCCCTCCCCCGCAGTAAGAATGGCCATCCGCTGATTACTCCTGATGCCCAGCACCCAGAAATGAGGAGGAAGAGGGGTGCGGGGAGAAGGGGACAGGCCCGGCCCTCTCCTCCGTCCCTGCCGTACCTGGCCCTCGCAGGCCCAGGCGGCCGTGGGCACCCGCTGGCGATTTTGAGGGCAGGAATGAGGTGGCCGGGCTCGCGCTCTAGGAGGAGGCTCCAGGTGCCCGTGACATCTGGACTTCAAGTTTGAAAGAAACTGCTTTTTGTCCCTTTTCTTTTCACTGCTGGGGAAGAAGGCGGAGCCCGCGCTTGCTGGGCAGGGGCCTGGCCACGGCGCACCGGCCTGAGGATCTTCCTGGTTTCTTTGCGGTGCTGGGGATTGGGCCCAGGGTGCCCCGTGTGGCCTGCCAACACGCCACCACCGAGCACGCCAGCCCTGAGCGGCTTCCTTCACTTGTTCTGTTTAGTTATAGGGGACAGCGGGGTGCGTCTGGTCCCGACGGCGGTGCCTCTGGACGGTCCTACAGACAGGGAGCTTGTGGTTGCACATGGTGTGGAATTTCCCTGGTCCTGTGTTCATATAAGAACCCTGGAAAGTGACGTCGTCCCCTGCATGTCACTGTTAGTGTTTCTCCCACCCCAGAACTTCCACCTCGCCCTCCCAGGCTCGTTAGCATATCAGAGACTACATCCGGCCTTCTCTTCCCGCCTCCGTAGCCTCAGGCCACCCCTTTACCTGCGGAAGTCCTAAAGTCATTCTGTTTTTTATGTTTATTCACTTGCTTTTCTAGGTGGTGCTGAGAATCAAACCCAGTGCCTCCTGCAGTGCCTCCCGCGTGCTAGGCCGGCCCTCGAGGCCCTTCCTGCGGCCTGTAGACGCCACGTGCTCCCTTCATGGTTGAAGGGCACCTGGTTCCCTAAGCTCAGCTGCTGTGAGTTGAGCGTCACTGCAGCAGGCTGAGTTGAAGACCTCCGGGTAGGAGCCCAGCAGCAGGAGAGCTGCTCCGGTGGAGGTTCCGCTCCTGGTTCTGAGGAATCTCCACGCTGCTTTCCACAGTGCTGGCAGTTGGCAGTCCCACCAGCAGTGTAGGAATGTGACCTTGGGGCTGGGGTGGTGGCCCAGGGGTAGAGCACTTGCCGAGCATGCGCGAGGCCCTGCGTTGGAATCTCAGCCCCACGTGAAGATAAATATCGTGTCTGTTTACAACTAAAAAGATTTCTTTAAAAAAGTGGGCCTTTCCCGCACGTCCTCGCCACCATTTAACTCACTGTTCCTTGTGTTCTTGATAACTGCCATTCTGACTGGGCTGAGATGGAATCTCGAGGTGGTTTTAATCTGCATTTTTTTAAATTGCTACAGATGTTCGGAGGATCTTTCTTGAGAGGTGGGTGTTCAAACTGCAGGAAGGCAGGCCAAAGGTCGTGTCCCGCCAGGACCCATCAAGGAGTCACTCTGCAAGACAAAGGGCTCCTGGTGGCGGCTGGGTGGCCACACCTGTCCTCCCAGCGGCTCCGGAGGCTGAGGCTGGAGGATCACAAGTTCAAAGCCAGCCTCAGCCATTCAGTGAGACCCTGTTTATATAAGAAAGGAGGGACTATGGCACAGAGGTTAAGTGACCCTGGGTTCCATCCCCAGTACAAAAAAAAAAGAAAAACAAGACAAAGTCCCTGGTAGAGTCAGATAAGCTTTAATATCTAGAAGTCTGGGCATGTGATCCAGTGGGTCCCGGCTCTCCGCCAAGGGAGAGCTGGCAGCTGGAAGACTCGGCGGGCATGCTGGTGATGACGATGGGCACCTTGGCCTTGACGCTGGCCAGAGACCAGGGCAGGTGCACGGTGACCACCAGCTCGTAGCTGGTCCGCACGATCTGGTCGTCCAGCAGGGTGCTGCTCACGGACAGCACGAGGGGCAGGCTGAAGGTGCTGACCACCGTGGTGCTGCTGAAGGCGGCGATCTGGGTGTTGGCCTCCTGCCGCAGCAGCTCATTGCTGTCCCCGCGCCACCGCCGCTCGGCCATGGGCGTGAAGCCCTCGTACTGCATGTGGGCGTAGAGGGCGAGGACCACCGTCCGGATGCACTTGCTGGTCTGGTTGTGGATCTCTGAGGTGAACACCACCTTCTCCCCCGGCATGAAGGTGTTCCTGTCCATCCGAATCTGCAGGCACACCCTGCCCCGCCGGCAGCAGTTGTAGGACACCTTCTTCTCGGCCTGCACAAACAGGGGGTCCTGCAGGGGGAGGGGAACGAGAGTGAGGGGCTGTGGCTGGGAGACCCACCGCCTGACCCACATCCATCCCAAGAGCTCCTCGGTACTTCCGGGCTTTTGCACCCCCAAGCCTGCAGTCCTCTCTCAGCTTCCTGTGGTCGAGGCTCCTGACTAGTCTGAATATCAATGGCCTTATCTGCAAAACAGTCTGAAGAAATTCACAGAATCCCCCTCCCATTATTCTCTGGCTGTGTGACCTTGGATAAGTGGCTTGACTTCTCTGAGCATTGTTTTTTTTTTTTTCTGGAAGACAGAGTAATATCTTACAGTCTAAGAGCAAGACCCTGGGCTTAGGCAAATATTTCAATGATATGCATTCACTAGGAACTCCATTTTGAATTTTAAATACGGATCCCGCTCCCCACCCAAGCAAACATATTTTCTTGTGAGTGAGCTGCAGCTCCCAGGTGAACCCCACAGTTGTGAAGGGGAGCAGCCAACGTTGTACAGCGTGCCGTGTTGCTAACACGAGGTGCCTGGGTCAGCTACATCATATGCATTTTACAGTTAAGGATCTTTTCACCTTATGACCGGTTTATGGGGACAGGACCCTATCGCAAATGGAAGAACCAAGAACCGTCCATCTTGTTCATTTCCACGACAGCAACTGAGAACCCTGCAAAATGACCTGTCCCTCCATCCCCAACCCCCCTGCATCCCACAGGAGGGTTGTGTGGACCCCTGCGGGCACTCGCTGGCTCTGCGGCAGGGGCTGCTAGGAACCTCGCGGGCGCAGCACAAGGCACGCACACGCACACTGGGTTTCACTGTTCATCTTTTCCTTTTCTTAGCTGGGATGGACCTGGGTCCTCACTGTCCTGGGCCAGCACTCCACCAAGGTGAGCACCTGCTGTCTGTGACAGGTCCAAGGGCCTCCCGGGAAAAGCCTGGGACCAGACCTGGCTCCAGTCTGGGAGTGGGGGGATATTTGTGTTGAATTTACTTATTGAGTGTCTCTGATCTGAAAATCTGAAATGCTCCAAACATCCAAGACTTTTCGAGCACAGACACGGCCTTCTGTTCCGGTGATTCCAATTCCATTCATTTGCAAAATGTTGGTGGCAATTCTCTGAACTCATTTTTCTGTTATTTTCTATTCTACTTATTCAATGCTATCATTCATTTTCTTTTCTTTTTTTTTTTTTGGTACCAGGGATTGAACTCAGGGGTGCTTGACCACTGAGCCACACCCCAGACCTTTTTATTTTTTATTTTGAGACAGGGTTCTCCCTAAGTTGCTGAGGCTGGCTCTGAACTCAAGATCCTCCTGTCTCAATCGAACACAGTGCCTCACACATGAAGGTAAGGGCTCCACCACTGACCCACAGCCCAGCCCTGGATTTCTTAAATCATGTTGGTTGCAACCCACCGAATTTATATATTCTGACATTTTCTTTTTTTTTTTTTAAATATTTTTTTTATTTTTTAGTTTTCGGCGGACACAACATCTTTGTATGTGGTGCTGAGGATCGAACCCAGCACCACATACAAACAAAGATGTTGTGTCCGCCGAAAACTAAAATAAATAAATATTAAAAAAAAAAAGAAAACAGGTGGGGCTGGGGATGTGGCTCAAGCGGTAGTGCGCTCGCCTGGCATGCGTGCGGCCTGGGTTCGATCCTCAGCACCACATACAAACAATGATGCTGTGTCCGCCCATAACTGAAAAATAAATATTAAAAAAATTAAAAAAAAAAAAGAAAACAGTTAGGGGCTGGGGCTCACTGGCAGAGCACTTGCGAGGCCCTGGGTTTCATCCTCAGCACCACATAAAAATAAACAAATAAAAGAAAGGCATGATGTCCATCCATCCATCCAAACAAACAACAACAACAACCCAGTGGGTTGCAGGGACTGTGGTGTGACTCCCTGGGAGAGCACCTGCCCAGGCTGCCTAGGCCCCGGCTTGAGACTGGGGACTGAGATTCTTGGGGGAGATCCATTGCAACACACCAGACTGATTTTTTTTTTTTTTTTGTACTGGGGATTGAACTCGGGGCCCTCGACCACTGAGCCGCACCCCAGCCCTATTCTGAGTTTTTATTTAGAGACAGGTCTCACTGAGCGCCTCGCCCTAGCTGAGGCTGGCTTGGAACTCCATCCTCCTGCCTCAGACTCCTGACCCTGGATGACAGGCGTGCGCTACGGCACCCGGGCCTGCCTCAGCTTCTCAAGGACCTGGGACGACAGGCGTGTGCCACCACACCTGTCGTGTTCTTTTATTTTATAAAACATGGAGTTGGAAACCCACCCAGTCTCTCTCTCTGATCTGTCCTGAGTCCAGGCCGAGGTGCCTGCCTGTCACTACAGTGAGACGGCAAAGCGCAGCCTCCTTGGGTCCTTCCACGGTTTGAAAAGTGCCGCTCTGGGTCCACTGTTGTCCCTCTTGGGAACCTCAGGCTGACCCCTGACCCCTTCTGACCTCCCTTCCACCCGGGACCTCCGACCCCTGCCTGTCCTGCAGCCCTGGCCTCCTAAACCCCAGTCTCATGGAGAGTTTGCGCATGCGCATGCGCCAGGCCCCTGCAGAGCTTAGGAACCTGAGGCCCCAGGGGAAGCCTGCAGTACTGACCAGGGCCTGCAGGGGCCTCTTTTCAGTGCCCAGCACCATAAAAATTTTAAAAAAAGAAGAAAAAGTAGGAAGGAAGGCCCCGAGGGGAGGAGGGGAGGAGCAGTGCTCAGCGAGCCCTCCCTGGGTGATGACTTAGCTCTTGGTCTGCTGGCCCTCCTCCTGGGCCTGACCCCAAGCCTGCTGCCAGGAGTCCCTGTGGGTGGAGGGGGGTGTTTCCGTGGAACTGGGCACTTCCAGCTCCTGGACGTGCTGTTGCCCTGGGCCTTGTGGCTAATGGAGGGTCCACTGGCCGTGAGGCCCAACTTGTGTCCTCTTAGTTCCCATGGGCACCCAGAGAGGGCATAAGGCCTGCAGAAGGTCACCCCGGGAGCAGGGGCCAGACCTGAACTCAGGCTGCTGGCCCCAGGGCCCTTCCACACCTCTAACCCTAACCCTCCTGGAGGCCCACCTCCCTGTGGGCTGCTCCAGAGAGTCTCTTTGTCACTCGGATAATCACACCATCAGGAGGGCCAGTCATCGCCCTGGGAATGACCTTGGAGGCAGCAGGGCCAGCCTGTTTTACCGAGGAGGAGACCAGGAGTGCCCGCAGGGCAGGGCAGCAGGAGGGGCCTGCCATCCACCCCCCCAGAGGATCTCCAGGGCCCACTCCCCCATGCCCTCGATGCTCTGATGACACAGAACTCCCTGCGGAGGAAGGTGACCTTGACCAATGTCATTCCACTGCCCCAGCTTCAAAATGGGATTTGGGACAGCCTGGCCATCAGGTGACCACAGCTGCACTGTCCTTCCTTGTCCGGGGGCTGAAGCGCCTTCGTTTGCCTTTTAGGGACACCGGCTCTGTGTCTGAGGACTCAGATGATCGGGGGCCGCTGAGGGTCCGGACTCTCTCCCACCCAGAGGGTCTCTGGGGCTTCTGCTGGGTTGAGTTCCCGGGGCCCCCAGCCCGCTGTGGCTTTCTCTGGGTGGTGTCCTGGGCACTGCAGGGAGCTGGGCAGCGCCCCTGGCCTCCCCTCACGACACCCACCAGTGTCCCCCAAAGCCCACTGTCCCCTGACCGGCCACACTGCCCTCTCTCCTCCTTTTTTGTAGACAGACACAACACCTCTGTAGGTTTTCATGTGGTGCTGAGGGTCGAACCCCGGGCCTCGCACGCGCTAGGCCACCATGCCAGTCCCTCCTCTTTTCCTTTAAAGGCCACGGTTGACTTCTGGGGTTCTGGGGGCCATCCCTGGCCTCTTATCCCCCTGTACTGCCATGACAACCCAGTGTGTCTCCAGACATCCTCAAGTGTCCCCGGGGAGGAGAATCACCCTGCCTTAGTTCCTGGCCTGGTTGGTGGCCACCTTTTGTGAGTCCTCTGGGCTGGGCAGCTGCTGGCACCCTGGCAGCTCCCGTGGGCCTCGCTCCCCCCCGCCCCAACGCCCCCTCGGCACCTGGAAAGACTGATCTGGGTGGAAGTCCGAGGTCCCTTGAATCAACAAGTATGTCCTCTTCTTGGCCAGGATGTGCTCGTGGCCCATGCAGGAGGCTTGGATGAAGTAGGAGATGTGGCCGGTTTTGCTGGAGAAGGTGGAGGGGAGCCTGGGAGGTAAGTTGAAATGGAAGTCAAAGGTGTGGCTGCCTGCACTTAACCAATTATCTGAAAGCAAAACACACCGAGGCCATAAGAAGGTTCTAGAATCTTTTTCTTCTTCTTTTCTTCATTTTTTCCCCCATTATTTAGTGTTTGGACAGGGAGGTGCAGGTTCTGGGGATGGCTCCTCTGTCCTGAGCTAATACCTTCAAGGACCTCCTCTGTGGGCCCATAAACAGTCGTCCCTGACTGGATTGGAGAGGGACATGGCTGGCATGGTCACCCCAAAGTATTTATGTGGACTTGCGCACCCCAGCTCTGGGCTTGAGAGAGCGGAGGTTGGGCCTGGACGTGGTGGTGAGGGCCTGTCATCCCAGCAACTCGGGAGGCTGAGGCAGGAGGACACAAGTGAGGCCAGCCTTAGCAATTCAGGAAGGACTTGTCTCAGAAATAAAAAGAGCTGGGGATGTAGCTCAGTCAGTGGTAGAGGGCTTGCCTAGGTAGGACCCTGGATTCCATGGGTACTGAAAAAAAAGAAAGTAAGTGCAGTTTGGACCCTCAGGATTCAGCTAGGATGTGCTGAGCACCTACTGTATGCCAGAGATGGTTTTAGGCAGTGTGTATATGGCAGGGGGCAGGACGGATAAAACTCCTTGCCTTTAGTGAGCTTGACATGCAGTGCCTGGTATACAGTAGGAGCTTAAATTTTGATTTTGTGTTTTGGAGCTGAGAGTGGAACCTAGGCCTCATGTGGCCACGCATATGGTCTGAACACCAAGCTCTGCCCTCAGCCCAATGTCTGCTGAGGAGGGGGGCGCGGGTGCAGGGCCCTCTCTGCCGTCCCATTTCTATGAACTTCCTGTCTCTCCCCAGCCTGCTTGTCACGGCCGGTCGCCACAGCAGACACAAAGGCCTGAAGTTCCCAGAGACCTATCTGCTGCATCAGATGCAGGGGCCCTGCTCTGGAGCTTGGCACAGATGGACGTCTGTTCAGCACGGGCTTCAGGTCGGTGCTCGGGAGGGCAGTCCAGTGGCTTGGAAATGTGGAGAGGTGGCGTGGGACGTTGGGGTCTTCCAGAGAAGGAAGCGCTTCTGTCCTGTCTGAACACTAGTCACGCTCTGCACGCCTGGCACTTTTTATTTTTCAGTTGATGATTGAGCCCAGGGCGCTCTCCTGCCGAGCTACACCTCCAGCCCTTTTTATTTTATTTTGAGACGGGGTCTCATTCAGTTGCCCGGGCTCTAATTTGCAATCCTCCTGCCTCAGCCTCTGAGTCGCTGGGCTAGGTGTCCCCACTGCTACTGGCCTGGTGGTCTCTCTTCTGCCTGGCTCCTCCTAGGGTGGAAACTGCTTATCCCCAGTCCCGCTAGGGGTGGTCGGTCGACTGTCTTGACCTTCAGACCCCAGGTCCCACTGGCCTCGGCCGCCTCTCCTTACCCTGCACCGGGAACGTCTTCGTCTTGTGCACGTAGTCGGCCTTATTGTTGCAGATGACCTCTCTGCTGTAATCACGGGAGGCCCCGATCTCCTCGTTCCACTCGACGTAGCCCCTCCCCACGAGCTCCACCTTCACCACGGGGTCCACCAGGGTGCTGTTCAGGGTGAGGATCACCTGCCCCTTTAGGTTGGAGCCAGCCAGGTACACTGCATCCTTGGGCAGCACTAACTCGATGGACCTCACCATAGACATGGGGGTTGGGGTGGCGGGGAAACATCTTTCCCCTCCCCCAGGCCACCAAGGTTCCGGGTTCCTTGTCTATAGTGACATCATTTGTCTGTGACATCCCTGGGCTCACAGCTCCAGGAAGGGAGAGCCAGAGGCCAGGAGGGAAGGCCTAGGGCCTCCTTCCTGCTCCCCAAACCACTGTGCGTCCCGTGTGAGCAGTGGCTCAGGAACTGGGTGACCCTCGTGGGTAGCCTGACCGTTTTCCCTCAGGAATAACCAAGACCCAAACCCTCAAAGTCAAGAGGCCATTGTCCCTGCTGCATAGAGAGTGCCTGTCGTCCACCCGGAAGTCGGGGGCTTGTGGGGAAGGATCCTTCCAGCCACGCTGGTGCCGAAGACATCCTAGGCTCCCTTCACAGGTGGAAGGAGAGGCCCAGAGAGGCCTGAAGGCATCTGCCGTCCTACCAGGTGTCCCCAGGTTCGGTGCCACATTTGATCATTTTCCTGTTGAAGGCTCTTCATTATCTGGTCTGTACTGGAAAAAAAGTTATAGATGGGACAGGACACGGCATCTGATGGGTACTGCAGACGCTCAGGTCCCCTGGACTCACCCTGGACACCCAGACCACCTGGAACCCGTCCTCTCACATGACTGACATTTCTCCTTAAACCTGCTCTCCCCACTGGGTAAGTCCCTTCAGAGGGAGGCTGTGTCAGGGAGGTTCGTGCCCACCAACGTGTGCCCGACCCAGATCAGCAAGGCTAATGGTAGTGTCAATAAAAGTTTGTTGAGTGACCCAATAGCCTCTGAGAGTCTGTTTGCACGTGGGCTGGTGCCTCAGCAGGGAGGGACGTTGAAGCAGAATGCTAGCCTGTACCCACTGTCCAGACTGACAGGCCTCGCTTTCTTTGCTATAGTTTGCTTTATTTTATGTGACAGCTTTTGGGGACACTGACACCTGCCTATTAGTTTGTGAATTTTTTTTTTTTTGGTACCAGGGATTGAACTCAGGGGCACTAGACCACTGAGCCACATCACAAGCCTTATTTTGAATTTTATTAGAGACAGGGTCTCACTGAGTTGCTCAGTGCCACGCTTTTGCTGAGGCTGGCCTTGAACTTGTGATGCTCAAGTCTCAGCCTCCTGAGCCACTGGGATTACAGGTGTGTGCCACCGCACCCCACATGGTTTGTGAACTTCTTTTTGAGATGCCTGGAGTAGTTGTTTGGTGTTTCTGAGTTATTAAACTCAGCAGTTATGCACTTGAGCTAATATGATGGATTTTGACATTCTCAAAATGATTATGGAATTCGAGTCCTGTATGACCATGCAGAGAAAGGTGGATGCCTCTTTCTGGGTTAACTTCAGATGACCAAGGTGCCTGGCCCATCCCCTGCACCGAGTGTCCATCAGGAATACTCCCCCTTCCAGGTGTTTCTGCAAGGGCAGGTACACTTGGAGGCCGGGTCTCATGGGATAGACCAGGATCTTTTGGAAGATCCTTTGTGCCTCACAAACCTGGGCAGGTGTGCTTGATCACTGCTCACACCTGTGGTATGATCAACATATGGTTGATGGCCAAGGATCCAAACTTGGGTTCAGTGGCAGTGAGCGAGTCTCGAAGTTGGAGATAGTGAACAGCAACCTCTGGACTATACATATTAGATTGTATGAGTTTCCTATGGCTGCTGTAACAAAAGGTCAATAATGTAGTGGCTTGAAACCACATAGTTTATTTTCTAACAGTTCTGGAGGTCAGAGGTCCAAAATGAGTCTTAGTCTAGAATCAAGGTATTGCTGGGGCTGTGTTCTAGCAAAGAACCCTTGCCCTTTGCAGCTTCTGAAACACCCCATGCCTTGCCTCTAGTCCCCCTGATTCTCACCTGCTTCTAGTATTCTATCTTCTCTGACTTGGGCTTTGCGGCCTCCCTCTTCCACACATTAGGACCCTTACAATGGTATGGCATTCAGCTGGATCATCCCAGGTAACCTCCCCATCTCAAAATCCTTATGTGTCTAGGACCCTTTTGCTGCCGGAGGTACTACATTCACAGATTCTCAGGGGGAGGATGTGGACCTCTTCAGGGCCCCGGCTCTGTCTAACAGTGGAAGTAGCTCTGGCAGAATGGAAGTTCTGCACTGCTACAAAAATTTTATACAAATGAAACATGAAACTCAACTTCTTTCTGCTCGCAGATCTCCTGTGCTACTCTGCTGTAAGAGAAAGACTGAATGCCTCCGGGGGCCTTGGAGGTCTTCCCAGCCACCCCTCTGACCTCATCTGGGCCCCCCTCCCTGCCTCAGCCTGTTGGGTGCTCCTAGGGCCTCCTTCCTGCTCCCCAAACCACTGTGGTGGTTCCATCTGCCCTTGGATCTCATCTGCTCAGAGACCACAGCCTTTACCCTGAACCCAGATCCTTCTCCCTGGCCCCCTCGTGGCTGCTGGTGGCTCCCAGCTTCCGTGGACTCTCCTCGCTTCACGGCCCTTGGTGCAAACCCAGATTCACTATGCAGGTCTTGCCGTGTTCCCTGACAGGAATGTACTGTCCCCCAGACCTGAGACCATCAACTGGGAGTATGCCTTGCCCAGCATGGAGCACCCTGTCCACTTACTGGGTGGGTGCCCAGCACAGGTCACTTCTGTGTCTGCTATCAGTGGCCAGAGTGGAGCAGGCCAGGCGGAGGGGGCAGGGCAGCCCTGCCCGCCTGGACAGCCAAGAGAAGGCGGGAAAACCAAGCGGGAAGAACCAGCGAACAAGCCCTGCGGGTGGTTAGGGTGGGGGCGGTGGCAGGTCCTGATGCAAGGCAGTGGGGCTGTCATGGGGTGCAGCCATCGGGGTATAGGCTGTCTCCTGGGAATCCTCACATTCTTCTGCAGTGTAGATATTGATTCCGGCCTTCTTAGCTCTACTGGTCAATGTGTGTCCAGGGGAAGGGGGCTATGGCAAGGCAATGGACTTAGTAGATCAGCGGGTCTCTATCCTGGGGGTTCCACTCCTGGGAGGGAGTCCCCCTAGGGCTCCTCTGGACAGGACACACATGGCGGGGAGGCCTGGGTCCTGCCACAGGGCCCCTCTGGCGCACTGGGCGCGCCCTTAAGAGAGCGAAGGGCAGGGCGGGGCCGTGGCCAGCTGGGCGGAGTTAAGGAGGGCGGATCAAGGCAAAGGGGGGCGCCCCCCACCCCCTTTCTTGCTTCCCGCCACTATGGCGGCCAATCAGGAGGCAGGCACCCGCCCCCCAGCACAGCCTCCGGCAACTCCCAAACGCCAGTTTTCGCGGGAAAAAAATCAGAGCAGCTGGCAGCGCGGTGGGCAGCGCTGGCCGAGTGGGCACTCCGGGTACCACGTAGGTCCGCGCGGGATCCGAGCCACGCACGCAGCTCCATCGCCATCCCCAGCCGGGTCAAGCGCGCAGGCGGGAGAGTGGATCACGGCAGCCAGAGAGGTGAGCTGCAGGGCGGATCCGGGTGCCAGCCCGGGCCAGGCGCACTGGGTGCTCCGGGCTCGGGGACTTTGCAGAACTTTCCTGCGTGGGCCGGGACGCGCGGCCAGCATGGGCGCACTCATGCCCGCACGGGGGCTGCCCTGCACGCGGTCCCGCGATCCAAACGCTTTACCCACTCCTCACCCGGTACACTGGCTTGGGCGGGGGCGAGCAGCAAGTTGCGGAGCTGGGCGGGGGTCGCGCGGGCAGGGTGGGGGAGGGCCCGGTGAGCCGCCCGGGAGGATGTCAGTCTCCGCGCCTGCGCGCGGGGCGCCCCGCGATTCAATTGTCGCGCCCGAGCCTGATTTCGCGCGCCCTGAGTTCCCCGGGTGCGTCAGGACCAATAGGGAGCGATCGGGGCGGGGCGACCGGGTGCGGCGGAGCCAATAAGAGGCAGCTCAAGTGAAGGGGGGAGGGACTTGGCGAGAGGGGCCCTTCGGTCCGTCCGGGCGGTGGGGGTGGGCGTGGGTTTTCTGGCGCGACCCGCGCGGCGCGGGCAGAGTGCCAGAGGGTCGCTGGGGCAGCGCTTCGGGAGTCCGGGGGGCGCAGGCCGCCGCGGGGCCAAGGTGAGTCGCCCCGCGCGCGCGGGGGCGGCCGGGACGGGGCGGCCGGTTGCCATGGCCACGGCGGGGCTGGCCGCGCACGCGCGCGGGGGGCACCAAGGGGTCCCGGGACTCGGGGGTCGCGGGTGGGGTCCTGCCTCCTCGGTCCCACTTAGTGGAGTTGTCCCGGGACTTCACAACTTGCGACCCACTCCGGACTTTGGGAAGTCCCCCTTGTGTAGACACGAATCCCGGGAATGAATGAACGAGCCGGCGCAGTCACTCGGGGTGGCTGCGCGCGCTCGGCCCGGGCCCCCCCCCCCAGCCCCGGATCTGGTTTTGCTGTGAACGGATGGTGGGCTGCACTGGATGGCCTGAGGTCTCGTTTCCCTCCCTGCTCAATCCTCAACACTTGCTGGTCATTAAGACACAGTCCTTAATTTACTTTGCCTGGCCCTGGTTGAGACTTGGCAGTCCACCGGGACCAGGAGGTCTGGAGGACATTCTGGGAGTTTCATACTGTCCACCAACTGGACAGAAGTAACCATGATCCCAGTATAGCCTGACATGGCCTGGTGGCACAACTGACCCCCGTCCTGCTTTCTTTTCCTCCATCAGCGCTGACACCATGTGGGTCCAGGTGCGCACCATGGACGGGAAGGAGACCCACACTGTGAACTCACTGTCCAGGCTGACCAAGGTGGAGGAGCTGAGGCGGAAGATTCAAGAGGTGTTTCACGTGGAGCCAGGCCTGCAGAGGCTGTTTTATAGGGGCAAGCAGGTAAGCCAGCAGGCAGCCTGCCGGCTGGCCCACCTTTGTTCTTGCTGGTCTAGGCACCCCGCCTCTGCCGCCACCAGCAGATACAGTCTCCCCCCGCCCTGGTCCCGCTTCACGTCTCCCGGAAGAAGTCTTACAGAAACCTCAGATGCCTGTGAGGGGAAGGAACAAAGGCCGGACTCGCACGCACGTTGACACACTAGGCAGGCAGCTGGCACTTGAATTTATAGCATCTGGGCTTTCAAACTCTTCTTTAAGGCTCCCCTCAAGATATTTTCTAGAGCAAGAAGTTGGAGGTGACCCACAGCTTTGGAATTTTGAAGAAGGGCCTAGATGCAGGAGGCAGTTAGGACAAAAGGGACCAGGTTTTTCTTCTAAAACATCCCGATGGCACCCGGGCCATTAATTGGCAGACCCCGAGAGTGTTTCCTAGAAATCTGGATGAGCTTATTCAAAGTCCAGAGATGGTGCTTTCTAATCAGGAATTTCCACCACTCTGGGCTGACCGGGTGGTCTCTGCGGGGGTCTCCTTGTCTCCTTTCCGAGGGCTCTCTTCCCAGTCCCTGGTAGCATTTAAAGTGGCCATCTTCCTGCAAGCAGCTGCCTTCGTTTGGGAAGGCTTTCTGTCGGCACCTGGGGGTTTCTGCTTTGATTGGTGTCTTGGGGCACAACGGGCCGGCCATGACTGAGGTGGCAGGTGGGATACAAAGGTATGCTAGGAGGCACAGGTCCATCTGCTGGGCTGCCTGCAGTTGCTGGACTGAGGTGACGGGGCTGCGAGGCCACTGAAGTGGGTGGAAGTCAGTGGGTGCTGTGGGCCCTGCGTGTGGGAGTTTGGGCTGGAGGCTGCTGCCATCTGCTGTCTAGATTGGAAACACTCGCTGAGGCAGGCCAGGCGTCCTGGGGCCGGGAGGCATGCTTATGGGATGTGGTGATGTTATTGGGCTTTTGGCGCCCTAGGAGGCCCAGGTTGGCCTCCTTCCTGCTGGAGGCTGGG